ACCCACTTGGTAAGCAGGTTATGAAATAACCTCTGCCATCGTACTTCTCACCATGATTGCAACACTTACAATTTGCAGTGATCACCCAGGCACGCCGGAAAAGCCAAGCGTTTGTTGACCTTGATGTGCGACATCCGCCCCTTTTATCTGACCCTGTTGCATTCATGGACCTCCAAGGGGCTATGGGCGGGACTATCACAATCGTAGGCCTTGTCGGGGCGCATCCTTTGCATCAAAGGCCCCCTCCCCTCCCCAGCCCTTTGGAGGAAATGCAGCATCTCGGCGCTGCAGAGGATAGCCAATTCAGTGCCGGCCCGAACTTGCAAGCTAATGTTCGCTTTGGATTAGTCTGGAGGAATCCCCCGAAAGGAGCTGATTCCCGACAAAAGGGAATAGTGGGAAGTCACCATTAGCAAAACAAACGCTGCCGTTGCTGCCAAGGATCAATCAAATCAGTTGGCTCGAGCGAGCCCGCGAAACATGTCAATGCCTCTCCTCTCAAGGTGCATTGTGTCCAAAGGATGACCATCTACAAAAAAGGAGACAACCTCCACAAGTGGATAAGATCTCCTTTTGATTCCGCCTTTAACCCATCCAAAGTTGTGGGCGGTCTGAACTGTTGCACACACAGGGTCCCTATGTATACTGATGTACATCTTACATATACCCTATAAACATGACTTTTCAGTCGGACCTAAGGGTGGTGTTGCACACCAACACAAATCGTACCTTTATATTTAATTGCACGAACCTATTAGACACGCAAACGCGTGAACGCTGTTATATGGGCGTGTCCTTTTTTTGAGGGGCCCCGCTTTGGGAGCTGCATCAAATGTCAAAGGGAGACCAAAGAGAAAAAAACACTTGGCCATGGGTCAAAAGCCAAATCGTACCCCCAGTAAACATCCCAATCCCCACTCAAATAGGTGTTCTAAAATGGGTGGTGAACACACCTACCCCAAAAATGGTACCACAACGGTTTTGACCCACAGCCACTTGTCGTGCGGGGCTCCCCCCATACCGATCCGTGCCTTGGTAGACGCGCCCAGCTTTAGGCACAAACCCAGGCTGGCTGAAGGGGTAGGGCGCGTCCATGACCATCTCCTCACATCGTTGGCCCCAGTTTCTTCCATTTGCGTTATATGGGTGTGGGTCAAAACTAAACCACCAGGGGACCACCGATTGTAGTCCATGCTTCCATTTACCAGGGTTGAATTTGGGGTACCTATTTTGGACCCACAGCCATATGCCCCCTGGATAAAATGAGAAAATATGTCCGGTAGTGATAGATTTCCTTAAAACCAACAAGGGAAAGTAACAACTATTCTTAGGCACATGGACGTATTTTTTGGACTAACAGTTTGTCTTAAAAGGGAGACTCGAAAATGGCTTCGCATTTCCTGCTGTGCCCCCTTACCGAAAAGGGCACGCTCGAAAAAAGACCGCCAAAGGGCATCCGCATGGCTGTGAGTTTTCATCGTGGAGCCTTTGGGGGACATCGTTGAGGTGGGGATCTATGCCCACCAAGCACTCCTCAGGGAATTTGCTATTAACTATAGTTTCAGTAGAGAGGTTAGAACTTTTGGGTACCGTTTCTTTTTTCGGTAGTTTATTTTAGTAGGGGAAGCCTCCCCAAAAAAAGTTGGTAAAAGGGCACTACTGGGGGACCTAGTCAAGATTCACAGCCATATGAGCAACAATTAACCCGAGAGGACATGGCAAAAGGGCCCGTTCCCTGCTGCTGTGGCTTGACATTTCGCATAGACCATAGACTGCCAGACATGTTGAGCAAATCTCACATGTGTTAAAATTGGGGGCCCTCCACAATGTCTGGTTTCCTTCTCGCTTCTCTTTCGACCAACCTAGGAGAGTGCAACACCCCCTCAGAAGGACCGTTTGCATGTCTTTGAGATTTGTTGGATGGTTTTCGGGGGAAGCCAGAAAGACCAACCATCTAGGGCAAACCAGGTCAGATTCCAAGCAGGTGGGAGTTAATTCTGGGTTGACTTTGGGACGCCTGGAATGAACGTTGTGCGAATGGGCATTCCCTAAATGGAACTTGGACCCCTCAAAGGACTGTGTCTAGCAGACCAGTCGGAACCAGCAGGGATACTGCAAATACCTTCTTTTTCGCCACCTTTACACAAACGGCCCGAACACGCCCACATCACTTGAACCAATTTCCCTGTGTTTGATGTCCTGTTTCCTTGTGAACTTCGAGTAAGCACACCCCATGAACTAGGAGTTGGACCTCCCTAAAGCGGATGTACGGCTCCCTGCCACCCTGCCACTGTGCTTGGTGGGTTCCTCTTTGCAGATTTACTCCGCAGATTTCTCGTTGCGCCCGAACAAGAGCCACATGTTCGAATCTGGAACTTGGGGGCCCATGTCTTGGGTTCCATGTGAGTCAAAATCAACCCCTGGCATCAAAATGTCCGAACCAGGAAAAGAAGGAAAAGGGCGGCTGCACCCCTCCTTTATGGTTGGGATTGTGTCCCTATCAGGATCTCGATGTTGCCGGACTCGTCCAAGGTGCACAATTGTTTTCTAGAATCCGATATGGCTTCTCGCTATTATCTTGGCATTGCAACAAATTGGTGGAAGAAATCTAAGCGGGTTAGATTTCTGTGTTAGATTTCTGTGGAATCCAATTCCCAGCACCTGAGAAACCCTGGAACGATGAGCTCCACTTGGTGGGTCAAACCAATGGGATCCCATTTTGGGGTAGGTGCACCACCTATTCTAGTCTATAGTGGGGATTGGGATGTTCACTGGGGGTACGATTTGGCTTTTGACCCATGGCCACTTCATTCGACTCGGGCTTTTTCCCTGTGGCTCACGTCTCACGCGGGTCCGCTGTGTCCGGACTCGCCTGCAGCCGCCGCCAGCCGTGGGGTCTCCGCAACTCGCTGAAGTCCGGAGCCTGGCCGCCTGGCGGGAGGAAAAGGAAGGTGTCGTCGGGCCGGTCCCTTGCATGGGAGAGATACCGCATTAGGCTGATGTTTCTCGGGTGCTTTCTGCTCTGCGAAAAAGTGTTTGACTCTCTGGTTTCCTTTCAGGGAATTGTTTGGTTCATTCCCAAAACTGTGGATTCCCGAACGAGAACCAGCGAGTCATGGAACGTCCCGTTAATACTTCTAGGTCCTCCGGTAGAGAGGTTAGAATAAGGGTACCAACTTTTTTCAGGACGTCTGTTTTAGTAGGGGAACCCTCCCAACCAAAAAAGAAACGAAAAAAGGGTACTACTGGGGGGACCTAGAAGGTGCAGTGGTGTCCATGGAGAAAACAAGTGGTTCACTCTTTTTTAGGGGAAGAAAGCATAGGGTTCACTTCTTGGCAAACAAACACATGTGGTGCATGTTTTTTTTTTTGAGGGAACCAGGGCCCCTTCTTTCATGTAAAACCCCGACTCCTTTTTTCAGGGACCCCCTCCCCCTTTTTGCTCCTTCTGAAAGGGCTGAAGCTTTCCGCCAACAAGCCTCCCCCACGCTTCCCTCAGGCTTCCCTAAGGCTTCCTAACGGGTTCCTGGTACCCTTTTTCCTGTAGTCTATTTTAGTAGGGGAACCCTCCCCCCAAAAAGGGGTAAAAGGGCATTACTGGGGGACCTAGCCAACGTAATTTGCAGATTTGGCCGATATGTCTCGTCCAATCAGCTCCAGCCATGCGCAGGGCAAAAGTCAGCCTGAGTCCTTAAAGCTTAAAAGGGGGGGAGGTTCGGGCTCCATGATCTTAAGGGGAAACGACAAGGAACACCGAAAGCCATTTTGGGGATCCGAACACACCAAGCTGATTCTCAAGTGAAACACCAACTGAACCAAACTGGTGGATTCCTTTCAGGTGATCTCCAAGTTCATCTGGAAAGCAAGTTGTGTGACGTCCGCAAATTTCCCCCCCCCCCCCCCGCCCCCCCGCGTTTTCTTTTGTTGGACCCAAAGCCCAAAGTAAGTTTGAGAACACGGGACATCATGGAAGTCACACAGGCAAAACCCCGTCGCCTCTTCGGAAAGGGCGCCGTTTAGGCGTCCATTTTCCGGCGAGTACAAATGTAGCATAACGCCCCTGACCAAACAAACAGAGTCTTGCACTGGCAATGCCAATTGAACTGATGTGGAGATGTGCAGTGACATTGTTGTGGGAAAGGAGCCGTGTTGATTTTTAGACCGTCCTGAAATCCGGGGACCCATGGAAGGTAACCTTCGCAGCCACGCAAAGTGCGTGTGCTGTGACCAGTGACGGACTTCGCGGTCAAACATCATACTTTGTGGCTAACTTTGTTGTTCAACAAAATGTGTATTGTGTGCGGAAGCTCGCCCCGTGACAGTTGTCTGCATTTGCCATGGCGTACTTCCTCCTCTCCAATCTGTGTCCAAAATACACTTAGTCTAAGCCAAGCTCAACGTCTCAACACACACACACACAAGCTCAAACAATGCTCAACATGGTCAAAGATTAAGACACGGCTGCAGCCGCAATCAAATGAACAGAGCTGCATAATGGTCGTCCCTGGAATCATGAAAACAAGACTTGTGGTTTTCATGTGCGCTTGTTCCCAGACAGCCTGTCAAGTCCAGAAACTCAAGTTAGGCAGTTGACCTTGCACCGAAACAGTATCCACAAGATGAACATTGACGCCCTAAAACAAACACATGCAGGTTGCGTAATCCCTGCTTGCAACCTTCAGGCCTTAAGGGCATGAAGTAGCATTGCTTCAGGTTGTAACCATGGTTGAACAAAATGTGAATAGATAACAGATTCGCACACCTGGCGCGCGCGATGTGCGCGAAATCGCGACCGCGACTACTGTGACTGCAGCAGCTGCAATCTGCCGGCGGATCGCACACTTTTTGTCACCCCGGATGGAAGTCGTTGACGCGCGATGCCTTTCCCAAAGCTTGGCACCCAATGTTCAGGCCCTCAGAACCTGACGACAGTTGGCCGACTAGATGTTGGATGCTCTCACCGCTTGCGGCTGCCAAGTGAAGTTATGTCCTGTTTTTCTTGACCGAATTTGACATAGTTGGTTCCGAGCACCGAGATGCAAACGTCGCCCGCAGTGGTGCAGCACAGCGAGCCACGTTTGCCTCACCCCAGTGAAACCGGCGTTCGCCATAACACGCTGGCATCTTCAAAGCCGCCCCACGGCCGAAAAGAAAGTCCACGCGCTCCATGGACGTGTCACACAAGAAACCCGTGGGACATGCGGGTGTTCTACGTCTATACAAAACCAGGCCATGTCCTAAAGAAACTGGACCATGTACCAGCCTCTTGACGACACTTGTAGCTTTCCCTCTCGATCTTGGTGGGTCCAAGTCCAATTTCTCTTTTAGGAACTGCCCAGCTCGTTTTCGCCCCAAGTCTCCACTGCAGTTGACGCATCTCAAGCACTGCAGTTGACGCAGGAGTACTTCGGCCCCTCGGCCTTCAATGCCTCGATGGTCGCCTTCTCCGAGACCTCCGTGACCTTCGTGCTGCTACTCAGCGTGGAGCCCTCGGAATCAGAGGCCTTCAGCTGGTCCACCTGAAAAAGCGCGCGGGAGAGGTGGACGCTTCAGGTATGACTAGGTCCTCCAGTAGTTGGAGCTTAGAATAAGGGTACCGACTTGTTTTTTTGTTTTTTCTTCGGTAGTCTATTTTAGTAGGGGAACCCTCCCCTGAAAAAGTTGGTAAATGCGCACTACTGGGGGACCTAGTTGAGAAAAGGGGATAGTTAGTTCCCCACCAGAATCGGGAAAAAATGATCTTTCAGGGCTGTGTTAAGGGCCCAGGATGTGAACGTGGGGCCCATTTGGCGGATTCCAAGACAATCAATCATGGCATGCAACATCCGAAAGGATCTCACTTCTTAGAAACCATCCAGGGTCAACCTGAGGAGCAAAGTTGAGTCTCTAAATGGGGAGCCCCCCAAAGGAGCCAGCACGCCCCAAAGACTGCTTTGTGGACTTCCCCACAGCCCCATTCCAATTCTTTGGACCTTGTGCTCGGCTGCAATTTGTGATTTTTTGGGATGTGTGTGTTTCCCACCAACAAACTGTTAAACTTATTTGCGCAGAGATTTCCGATGGGAGCGGTTTCTTCGTTTTGGTTTTGACCACTCGTGTTACCTAAGAATCCACCCATGAACTGGATGAATCACTTAAGCTACTTTGCACCCAGGTTCTTTGGCTTCAAGCCTCGGGAAGGACTCACTGCCAAACGAAATGAGGGAGACCCAGAAAGGACCCTGGGTTCCCAACAACATCTCTTTAGAAAGTAGATGACACGTCCAAGTGGTTCGATTTTCCTGGACAAAGCGTTCCCCCAGCACGTTCCAACGACTGCTTTTCCTGGGTAAACCCCATAAACCAACTTTAACCCCAAACTTCGTCATGACTATACTTTGGATGGGCGATTTTTTGCACCACTTGGAAACCATGGGAAACCATTGCTTGTTGCTATGCACAGGGGAATCATCATTCCAGGCTTCTCAGGTGGTGCGAAGTGGATTTCGCCCACAGCAGACAGCAGGAGTAAACTCTGACCAGTCATGTTGACCCATATTTATCAACCCCAGTTTATGAATAGGTGGGTGTTCCTGGGTGAATGTGTACAATCAGACCACTTTTGGAGGGGCCAACAACCACCCCCCTAGATTATTTTTTACTGGGGTTGATAAACAAAAATGCGTAGTCATTTTCGCCCCACGTCAACTCCATGGCAACCTAGGTCAAAGGTCTGGACTGCCGGCTCGCTCGCTCCCCAGCTCTCGAAGGAGCGGAGCCGAGCGGCCTCCACGGTGAACTTGATGGCGTCCGCCGCCGCCTTGGTGCGCAAGTAGTAGAGCCCCGTCTTCAGGCCCAGCTGCCAGCCGTGGAAGTGCATGGAGGACAGCTTGGCGGTGGTCACGTCCACCATGTGGATGTTCCTTGAGGGAACCTCTCTTGTTTTGCAACCACCACCTTGAGGCCATTTTCCAAGGGAAAAAAAACGCAGCTTTTTCAATCTGAGGGTTTTTGTATTGCACCCTGAGATACACCCTTGGGACATGACCCAGAATGGTTCAAAATAACACGGTTTTATCCGGAAATGTGCCTAAGTGGCAGTGGGTGTATTCCCAGGGTGTAATCCAAAAACCCTTAGATTCAACCACAACTTGACTTGCTGGTGCGATAGGGAATGTGGGAATGAACCACGGGATTCCCGAATAAAGGAAATCACCAGTTGGATGGTCTATAAGGCTCATTGCCTTGTTCCCTGCTGAGCACCAGCCATTTGATCCCTTTTAACATCATAATCCTACTTAGATTGTTTTGAGGGAATCTCAACCACGACTTCTTCACTTTCAACGTCATAAGCCTACTTAAAGGCAACTCTCTGAAATACGGGCCGTTCCAGCATCCACCAGAGCAGGGGCATATCGGAGCTTTGTCTCAGAGAATTTCGCTTGGAAGATAAGCAAGAGGCTGGCAAAGGGAACAAACGTAAATTAACGAGGAAAGCAAGCAGGAGGCTGGCAAACCACAAAGAGCAAAAGCAAGAGGGAACGGCCTGGGAAAGATGCAAGCAACAAAGGCAGCTTGAAACATAAGGGAGAAGGGCCGTAAAGAAGCATGGATCGCGGGTCAACTCAACAAGTGGTTGGCGCCAATTGGCGCTCAAGACGAAACATTGGTCAGGAAACGCTGGTGTGTGTGACCTTAATTCCATCTTTGGCGTCAAAAGGAGCAGGATCTTCTTTTGAGGGACGTCCCAAGGAAGGTTTTCTAACACGAGGGCACCAAAAGGGTCAAACGGTGAAGCCACATTTCAGTGGGTTTCAACCAAAAGAGGCAACCAGTTTTCAACCCTTTTCAAGCAGTTGTCTGCAACCACAAGCTGAAGCTTGCCCACTTCTGTGACACCAATGGAAGGTCTCTCATTTGAAGGTCGAGGTGTTTGGGTGTCACTGAAGTGGGAAGCAGCCCCTCATTCCCCCAACCCTGCATAGAAAGACTAGGGATACGACATCCGAAAAGGCTCAACGACTGGCTCTGGTCGATATAGGCCCCCCTGTCCGCCGCCATATCCAGCACCGCCTTCTGCTTGATCTCCCACACCTGAGTGTCGCACTAAACCCAACGGCAGGTGAACGCTTCGTTGGTTCGTGTGATTGCTGTTTAGTCAGCCAGTCAGTCAGTCAGTTAGTCAGTCGGTCAGTCGGTTGGTTGGTTGCTTGGTTAATTGGTTAGGGAATTAGTGAGTTGCTTGGGTGGCTAGTTGTTCATGTGGTTAGATGCTTGGTTGAGCGGTCAGCTATTTGATACTTCGTCGCCTAGTTGGTTCGTCAATGAAGTTGTTCATTAGTCAGCTAGCCTTGTAGTTGGTTGGTTAGTTCACTGCTAGCTCGCCAGCGTGTTGGCTTATTAGCTGGCTAAGCGTGGGGAAACGGCTGTCATTGTCCAACCGCTTAGAAGGCTACAATTAGACAAAACGACACCTGAGCAGCGGCCTTTGTGTTTGTCTTTGTCTCTTGTTGCTGATACTATAGCTATGTACGAATGCCAGCTTAAGCGTGCAGAACGACATGACGGAAAAAGGACACTAAGGATGGAACACGAAGTTCAAGAAAAAAACCCGCTGACTTGTGGTTCTACCAACTTGGTTCTGAATATTTATATAAGCCTTGCTAGAGATCCCATCAAGCCAGGTATTAGAACCACCTACAAAATAATTCCGCGGTTAAGGGGTAGTCTCCCTATTAGAAAGGTACCGATACTTGATTGACAACTTGATTGAACCACTGTACACATGCACTTGTTGGCTCTTTGTGGGTAGATAGACCCTAACCAGCACATAGTAAATCCTGTCAATTCAAAGCACACCCTATGGCCCAAATGACTACGTCCCTCGTTCAAAGGAACACACAATTGGAAAACAGCCTGACAAGATACAGTACGGTCATCCCGCAATCGTTCAGCGCTCAAGGGAACCCACACCTAAAGTGGAAACAACAAAAGAACGGGTTTGCTAATACAAGGCCTGGTTATAGACTCATGTGTTCAACTCCCGACAACCATTTTGTCAACTGCAAGCGCATCATGCTGTGCTCACAACAAGCGGACAAATGATGTTGTACAAACTGACTAGTTCGCCCGATGTTTTGAAAGGATCATTTGTCAGTCGAACTACAAGTGATGCCTTCAAAAGCGGTGCCTACTAAACTGGCTACTGGCCAGTATGCACAGGATAAAGACTCGATTAGACTATCAATGTTGCTCGAAGGGGTGTTTGTACATACCCCTACATACCCCCTGGGTAAATGACCTCAGGCTTGCTGATGTTGGTACTTCCCCGAAAGGAGCATACACCAGCCAGGGACGCCAATGAACAAGGGATCCCTTTCACCCTTCCGAGCGGTAGGGTCCTTCGAGTGCAGCCAAGACACGGTCTTGTAGAGGTCCTTCAGGTCCTGCGCACCAAACAATTGCCTCCTCTGGACGTGTCCCAATACTCCGAAGATTAAGATGGAACTTGAAACACCATGTCTTGAGGAATATCCTTTTTCATTTGCAAAAAAGTGCATCCCTGTTTGAGTGATTGGGGACCGACATCTGAGTGATTGGGGATCGGCGTCTGGTCAAAATCCTGCACTTCTGGCAACAACAGCACACACACACACACACTCTGACTTACCCCTTAAAACTCCAAGCCCTGGGGAAGTTAATCTTTTACAAACATATAGCCCATGTTACCCAAAAAGTTGAAAAGTTGTGTTTTTAAGAGGTAAGCTGAATAGTGGAGACAGATTGATGAATGCTCGACGAACATTACCCGAGAACCCGGGGAGCCAAAGATCGGACGCAGCGTACCGCCCGGGGAGGCGAACACGTAGGAACGGGCTTGCCCTTTTGCCCCCAATTTTGGGGTCACGTGTTAAATGAGAATGCCTCCCTGGACTCTTTCTTTCTTTTTTTGGGGGGAGGGGGGGGTTGGTTGTTCCGATAGTTTGAAAAGGACAGCCCTGAATGGGTAATCAAAACCAAACCCCTTCAAATGGTTGATTCCACAAGGTTGCCAGTGCAACACAATTCCATACCTTTCAAGAATCCCTAAAAGGCCGTCCTGGAATCGAGGTGGGAGAAATCCGCCGAAACTCCCACGGCCCTGCTTTCAACTGTTGCTTATGGTTTGATAGGCATGGGAATGAGGGAATGATCTCCTATGAACCATCCGTTCTGGCTTTCTGTAAGGGAATCCATCGGTTCATTCCCAAAGTGTTGATTCCCCACCGTGAACCGAGTCGTGGAACTTCCCCTTTGATCATGTTTCATGTTGTAGCTGTCCGATGTCCAGCTTTGTCGCTTGGCATTTCCAGGTTTGTCCAGACTTGCGTTGCCGTTCCCCGTCCCCGTGCCATGGCTGCCGCTGCACCCCCCCACCTCACCCAACCTCCATGGTCCCTTATAATTACCTGAAATATCCGCGGTAGAAATCACCCCAAAAGAAAAACTTGATATATATTTTTGGCCCAACAAGTACGTACTGATTCAACCATCCAACCAGGGCAACTTCCGAATCCCAAGCCCTCACAGTTCCACGTTTAAATTGCCACAAGGTCGACTTCAACCCAATGACTGTCTCCACCTGTGATTGAGTTTATGGGTGATCGAAAGCATGCACCCCTGCCTCATTGTTCACCTCTTGAACCCATTTGATTTGTGGCTCGATCGCCATTTTTACTGGGTCCCGAACCCAGCAAAAGAGGGAATTTGTCTCCCAAGGAACCTAACTGGGCCCTGGTTTGGACAGTTGTCCTCGGAAAGTGACCAATTCTCTGGTGGGTTGTTATTAGTGTTCACCGAACTGGGAACCTCCGGTTCAAAAATGAGAGTCGGAACCGAATGTTGACCCCAAATTGAAGAAAAAAACCGGGTGGTCTTTGGCGCCTCCAAAAGTGGAGTCTGATTCCCCACATTTCACACAGGGAGAAGCATCCCCCTGTTTATAGGGGTTGATTGAGATGTGTCAATGTGAAATTGACCCCTTTTCACTCGAATCCAACCATTCCACCCCCCAAATCAAATTCATTGCCCCCCCCCTATCCCCCCCCACATCCCTCCCCCGCTCCATCCAGCCTGTGGCAGGTCCAAGCGCTGCACGGAGCCGTTGTGCGCGATGAGCTGCATGCGCAGCTGGTCGGTCCACAGGTTCCTGGCGATGAGGTCCTTCAGGAGGTGGCGGTTCACCTGGGCGTTTGGATCAGCTCAGCTTCCCTCGAGCTTGGGTGGTTTGGAGGTTAAGGGGTGGTTTGGAGGTTAAGGGGTGGTTTCCCACCACAGGAATTCAGCTTTCCTCTACTTGGTGGTCTTGGAGGTTTGGTGGTTTCGTGGTCAAGGGGTGTTCCATCTACCCTCAAGAACCAGGGACCCCTTCAAATCTTCAAATCCCCAAACCATCCAAACGAACTAAGGGTGGGCGTTTCAGATTTTTCGAAAAGGGCTTGGAGCCCGGTGGCTTGGAGCGGGACTTTGGTGGCTTGGTTTGGAGGTGGGGTTTCCGATTTACCCGCAAGAGCCAGGCTGCAGCAACGATTCAAAGTTGGGAATTGCCCCACAACCGCGGACCGCGGCGATCCAGATTCTGGATCTGGCTTATCAAATATCACATTAACCATGCCGGGAAGATCTGACAAGTTGGTGGGCTGTCCTCCGCAAAAAATGCAAAGCTGCTGCCGGCTTCAGTCATTTAGTCATCTCCGACCTCCAGTCTTTCTGGATATTAAACGTCTTCTTTCTTCTGCAACTGCACAACGGCTGGGACTAGTTGATTGCAAACGAAAGCAGGGCAACCCGGAATCTCAAACATGATTTCAAATCATGGGAAGTTCCAAATTCCAATCAATCGCAAAGCAAAGGTTGGAAAAGATGACAAATTAACGGTTTCAGTAAGGCCGTGGATATCCGATTCGCTGTGTCCGATTCTGTTGACTGTGGGTTCAAGAGAATGCAACTACGCTCAGCTGGAAAAGAAATGTCATGGTTCCTCACAAAACGAAGTGCCTATGGCAGGAAAAGTCCCTGATCCAAAGTAGCGCTAACTCATGTTCCCTGCTGGGCATGAATTTCACTGGGTGAATTATAATATTTCACCAGCCTGAAATAAGGCGGTTGGGGGGCTATTCTCCACATAAACCACCATTTGGGGTGAGGTCGTGTGAGGTCGTTATAATTCACCCAGATGAATCAGAATTGGGATATCTGTGGTGGGCATCATCCGCACTGCTGGCGGTCCCACCTGCACAAACTCTCCGGAGAGCACCCGGCGGACGTACAAATTCCTCGCCAAGGCTGGCAGTTCGGGTCGTTCTCTGGAGGCCAAATATGGGGTCCGGAAAAAAACTGAAAGCCACTTCTGGATGCTAAGGGGAGGCATCACAGAAAGTGATGGATTCCCTAAACCTCCCGCCCCCAAGCTTGGGAATTCAACTCCGAAATCACACACCCATCCAGTTGAAAACCCATTTGATTGTGGCTCAATGGGCTGAGTGTCAGTCCCTGCGTCTTTGCAACTGGGGACCACCCTCCATTTTACTTTGGTTTCCTGTTGGTTCCTTTTGGGCTTCCGTGTCTATTGAGAAGCAGCAAGTCGTTTTCTTTCCCTGCAAGCTATGGGGTCTCTGCAACCAAACAGCCTCGGGTCGGGATGCCTTGGAGCTTAGGGCGTTCTTACCCTTTTGGGACCTCTTTTGGATGGATGCTCAAGGGCAGCCAAAAGGTTTCCTATTTTGACAAACCAGTTCTTTCTCTCCAGTCCTGGGTGATTCACTGCTACCCAATAAAAACAGGTTGTCCTTTTTCCTTGGCCGAAAAGAAGCCAAGCTGAGTTCGGGTTTGCTTCCCTACTGAACCGGCTGTTTCCCCGCAAAGCACTCCCTGGCGGGCAATGAACCCCAAAACACTGAGAACCAGCCAGCGGATGTTCTTGCTGGTTCCAGCAGGGAATGAGGGAACGACCCAAATAAACCCTCCAACTGCTGGTTTCCTTTATTCCGGGATCCCTGGGTTCCTTTTCCCACAATTCCCTACCTATCGCACCTAGGTCCTCCAGTAGAGAGGTTAGAATAAGGGTACCCTTCTTTTCCGTAGTCTATTTTAGTGGGGGGGCATCCTCCCCCCAGAAAGAAACGGTCAAAGGACACCCAGCTGAAAAACCTCTCGCACTAGTGGATTCTTCGCTTTTTCGGATTCTTTCCCCAAGGAACCCCAAAAAATACTGAGACCCAACCAGCAGCCGGTGGATTCCTCGGTTCGTTTCTCGGCTCGTTTTCCTTTTTCGCCCACCGCGGCGCTGGGTGTAGGGCTCGAAGGACTCGTTGTTCCCCAGGATCTGCGCCGTGGAGGCCGTGGGCATGGGCGCCACCAGCAGCGAGTTCCGCAGCCCGTGGACGCCGATCTTCCTATGGAAGGGTCCCGAAATGTCCGGCACCGGCGGACAAATACATAGAATGGGTGTTTTTTTTTTTTTGTGTGTTTTTCATAAGGCTAACATTCTGCCATGTGAAAATGAGGTTAATTATTCAGCCCCTTGTACTAGTTACCTGATGAAAACGTTGGTGGGACGAAATGGTCTGGCAAACCGGTGAGAATAAGCACGCGGGAAGTGATGTGGACAAACTGGGAAGGCTCAAATCTTGGGAAGAGGGTGCCTCTTAAATGGAAATTCTAACAAATGGATTCATTTCAGATACGCACACAATTGTCCTTCGGTGCACACCGGAGTTTTCACAACCCATTTACAGTCCGAGATAAGGCTTAAAGAAGAATAGTAAACAAAAATAATGACATCCTCTATCGGTAACAAGACAGATTCAGGATTGGAAAACCTGCGGTTGGTAGATAGGGTCTATCATGTTCTGGGAACAACAACTTATTAATGCGCAAGGCTGACGAATTGGGGCAACACTGCCTGCCCTTGGTGACAATGATTCTGCCTGGTTGGCCACGGAGATGTTCAAATATGCCTCATGCTGGTTGCAAAAGCGCAAATGAAGGCCCTGCACTGCAAAGGAACTGTGAAAACAGGTTCGTTGCTGGGATGAGCCGAAGCAACGAGAACCACGAGGCAAGCCAAATTCAACAATCAAACCAATCACGCCAACAACCAATCCACACAGTGAACACAGCCAAACAACCAAATGAAACAATCAAACTAAACAACGAGTTCAAACAGTCATTCTGAACAACGAAATCAATCCAAACAGGGAAACTAAATCACTAAACACAACAAGCCAACGGCACATTGACCAAACAAAAACAATCATTCCACACCAACAAAACCAAATCACTCCAACTAACCAACCAAAGCAAACATCCAAACTAAACAACCAAATTAAACCAAACAGGGGAGCTAACAAATCCACTCGAACTAAACAACCAAACAAAACAATCATTCCAAACCAACAAATCCAAACACTCAAACCAACCAACCAAAGCAAACAGTCAAACTAAACACCCAAAGGAAAAAAACATACAAACAGGGAAACTAGCAAATCCACCCAAACTAACCAACCCAAAGCAAACAGGCAAACTAAACCACCAAACCAAACCAACAAATCCAAATCACTCAACCTAAACAAACCAAAGCAAACAAGTTCAAATACTCAAACTAAACACACCAAACAGGGAAGCTAACAAATCCATTCAAACTAAAACAAACCAAACCAAAGCTTGGCTTGGCCGAGTCTCTGCTTCAAGGCCTGCCAATCCCAGCGCTTGCTGGGCTCGCGGCCCCAGAGGTCGAACTGCAGCAGGCCCTTGCTAGCGGGGCTGCCGGCGTAGGTCCTCGGATCCGACAAACGGGAGACCAAGACAGGAAACTGAACTGACCGTTTTGGGATCCCATTCTGGTTGGGAGGATTTTGACCCATGGCCAACTGACCGGGAGGAGGGGGGGGAGGCAGCCCATAAGCAGACCAAAAGGAAACTGACTTGGCGGGGGGGGGAGGTAGCCGAAATAACCAGAAGCAAACTTCCTGGGAATTACCCTCACCATAAGCAGATCAAAAGGCTGACCCGGGGGGGGAGAGGTAGCATTTTTCTGACCAGAAGCAGGAAAAATCAGGCGGTGTACCCCCGAGCCTAAGCAAACTCTGCTTTTGGAAAATCCGCCACCTCTTGGATTACGTCTACCCTGGACTAATCAAAAGATTGAGCCTACGTAAGCGAGTGACCCTCACTTTTGATGTCTTGCAATAAATCAGCCCACGTAAAACAACAAATTCATGGCCGATCCACTTTTTTGGCCTCAAAGGGGCTCTCAATTAGTCCATCCTGTTGCTTCGAAACCCTGAAATCAGGAATGCCCCAAAGGACCTACCCATGCCCCAAAGGACCTACCCAGACCTCGCCATCTAATAAGCATAATTGATCTGAATCTGAGCGAACGCGGGGAACCAACTCAAAGTGGCGCGTTTGCCAAAACAAGCAACCTCAAAAATTCAGGGGTTTCTTTGGGTGTGTCTTTGTTCGGGGCTACCCCTTTTTAGTAGCTTTTAAAGGGACACCGAAAGGAACACCGTTTGGCCATTTCGCAAAAACAAACCTATAAAAGCCAACAGCTGTTGGATTGGGGTCCCCTATGAACAAAACAATCCCATGAAAACCAGTTTGGCTTTTTTTGGGGAACAAAACCCAAACAAACAGGGCAAACCGTATGAACAAAACAAACAGAAGCAAACCCATGTTTCTGGCTGCTTGGAAAATCCCCTAACAACGCTTGGCCACCTCTCTCGCTCAGCTCCATTTCCGATCGAACGAGGCGCTCGTAGGGCCCAGAGAGCGCTGCCAACTCGCAGCTGGCCTCGAACCGAACTTCGACGAGTCGACGTTTTGGTGGAATGAACCGGTTTTGGGGGATTCGCCTAGGCAGCCATAGGTAGGAGATGAATGGTTTTTCTTGGGGTCATTCCATTTCTCATTCCCTGCTGAGAACCAGCAAGCTAGGAAGCAGCTGGCTTCTGCGATAGAACTAAAAAGATAAGTGAGTCCGATTTCCCTGAAGATCACTGAAACAAATTCTCGGGACTTTTGAGGTGTCACAATCTGAAACACATGCCATCTGCACGGCTTCGCTCGTTGGGAACTCTCCAAAACCCCGGCTTCCGGGACAGCTGCACCCGTTGGGATGGGTAATCCCTACGTATGGCACAAGGCGTGGGTGTTGCCATCCACAGCATCTTTCCCCATGCTCAAAGTCAAGCCCCCAAGTAGAAAGGGAAGCACCCCCGTTTTCTACATCCCAAATGGGGCCTGGGAAACACTCCTCACTTGGTGAGTGGATTGTCCCAAGCACGTCTAAACTTTGTATTTACAGCTAAACTGGTCTTCCCAAAATAAAGTGAACTCAAGGAGTGAGACGCCCATTTTCTGACTGCGATCTTCCTAAGTCCTAAGTCGAACACCCCATAGCATAGGTGTCCTTTTCGGGAAAATAGATGGATATCGCTGGTTGATTGAACCACCAGGTAAACCAGGAATCGCCCTCGATTTTTCGCCCAAATCAACCAAAAAGAACACCGAAAAGCCCCGAAAAGGCCCGGTCCGCCTCGCAGGCGGCGAAGTAGATGGTCTCGAAGATCTCCTCGTTGAGGCGCTTGGCCTCAGGTCTTTGGCTCGCGCGTTTCTCCGTTTGGGGTCACAGGATGGTCAGGTGACCTCCAATTGGTGGTTTAGATTCAGATTGGTGGCTTGGTTGGGGGATTTGAAAGGGTCCCTGGGTCTGGTAGAGAGTAAATGGGAAACTACTCTTAACCACCAAATAATCAATCCAAATCGCCAACTCAGGGTTGCCTGAGATGGTGGCCAGGCAAAAAGTCTACCCCAGCGCAGTTGCAACAGGAATGCTTTCGCAAACACGGGGAACAACGAAACAACACCATGGGGCCATGCACTGGGAAAACAACGTGCACTTGGAAAGTTGTACTTTGCGGTATGGTTCAGATTGGCCAAAAACACTGCAAACCGCTTGCCACGAACATGGTCCAAACTGAGAAGTCTCAATTGCAGGAACTAAAACGTGCGACAAAAAGGTGCCCCAACACAGGGCACCAATTGGGCTATCGCAAGCCATCCATCTGCAAAACTTACCATAATTTTTGCTTGTCTGTTTTGCCTGAAGCCTGACTTGATAATTGGGCAAACCACAGGCCTTCTAAATACGGCCAATTTACCATGATTCCAGCAGCTGAATTAAGAATCGGATCCCCAGCCAAAGAACCCTCAACATGGCTTTCGCTCGTACCCCAGCTCATGGGCGAGCTCGCGTCATAAATAAGGCAGAACGGTGGAAATCGGGGGGACCGTCCCCAAACCATCAAGCCAACTGGAGGGACCCCCCCCAAACCTGACATCAGGAATCCTCAAGTGAAGGGATCTTTGGATCTTCCCCAAACCCGAAATAAGGAATCCCCTAAACTCACTGGCCGAGTGGATGGCCCAAAAAAAGCCCAAACTTTATATTTGCCACTAAAATGGTCATCCCAAAGAGTGTAAAGTTCATGAACTCAGGAAGTGAGTTAAAACCATAAGCAAAAGGGTACCGACTCAAGCAAAGCTCACGCCCAGGCGCTTTGTTTCACCTGACCCGGCCGTTTTTGGTGGATCATGAGATTCATACAACCCCATCATGCCCCCACTTCCGGAAATTTCTCAGCTTGGGCTGTCCACCTCGCCGCCCATTTCCCCCCCCGCCCATGTCCCCGCGCCCAGTTCCCTCCCCCCGGCCTGGAGGCTCTCGAAGGGCAGCTTCAGCAGCAGCAAGGCGTCCGCCAGGCCCTGCACCCCGAGGCCCACGGGCCGGTGCCGCAGGTTGGAGACCCGCGCCTCTGGCACCGGGTAGTAGTTCCGGTCGATGACCTGCCCGGGTTCTCTCTCAAAACCAGAGCAAAACGCCGGGTATGTGTGCGTTGTTTGGCTCTTTTTGGGTGGTGCTGTTTTTTTCTTGGAACTAACAACACTCAAACCCAGGGTTGTGGGAAATGGAATCCACTTCTGTGATACAAAAAGGGCTTCCCAAAGACTCAACCCCCCCTCCTATAGAGGGGGAGATTCCCTTGTCTCACAGAAGTGGGGATAGACCCCTTGCTCCCACAACCCTGATCAAACACATGTCGCTCAAAATTAGGGAAGTCCTGAAATGGACGGTTGTCCAGTGGTCTGAGAACGGAATAACCACAAAAAGGGCTTATTATCACCCAAGCATCAAAGACCATTGAGAATGCACACACACCGCACACAGGGGCAACTCATGAGGCACTACAGGCGAGCAGGGCAAAACTATATGGAACTGGGAAACCCCTGCTAAAAGTTTAACTGTTAGTGGTTCAATACGGAAAAGCCATGAGCTGGCAAAAAGTTAAAGTCCTGACAACCCTTGGCAAAATGCACCAAAGCACTAACACCCCAGAAATATGTTGACCCCCTGTTTGAGGCTTGGGCCCTCGTCAGGTTCTCTTCCAGGGTGACTTTGCTCTGGGGATGTAAGCCAGCTGTTTGGCGAATCCACAACCACTTGTAAGCCATAGAGCATGGCTTTTGAGGCCTGCTTGAAAGGCTAGGTCCTCCAGTAGAGAGGTTAGAATAAGGGTACCCTTTTTTTCTGTAGTGGAACCCTCCCCCAATAAAGGGTAAAAGGGCACTACTGGAAAAACCTAGAAGGTCTGTTTGGTCCTGTTTCGTGCCAGCCTTCAGGAGTGAACTCCTGTTTGGTTTTTGGTTTTCGCGGAAATATTGAACAACTCCCTCAGGTAAGCACGGAACCCCAGAAACACTCATATGGGCGTATGGGTGTGAATCTTACTGAGGGGCCCTCTGGTGGACATCAGAATACGGTGGGGATGTACGTCCACCAGCCATTTGAGAGGGGTTTTCCCCATTAAACATTCATCGCCATATGCTTTAAGGACTCACCTTTTGGGTGACTCTGTGGGTTCCGTGTGGGCAAGTGACCTGAAGGAGGTGAGGGCCAAAGATGAGGAAGTTGCGGGCGAATGCAAAGGAACCTTTGGGGTGCCAACCGGCAAACCAGCTGCCTGGTCTTAGAAGGAATATGCTTACCCTCCCTCCAGCAATCATGGAAATGGACAGGGGGGCTCTCCAAAAGGACATAGTCTTCCAACACCCTCCTGTCAGGTTCCATGATTGTTGGAGGGAGGGTACATGGTATGGTTGCGGGTTCTTGGATGACCCCTGTTTGGAGGGGGAGGTGTCCTGTTTAAACCACAGCCCACCAAAAGCGAACTCACTTCCCAGATAGATGCTACAGTCACCACCACACAAAAAAAAAAAAAACGCCATAGATCAACATAATGACCAACCACCTATCATGACCGAGTTTTGCCTACGACCAGGTCCAACAAGGCCCTTGGCGTTCCAATTGCTGCAAGGAACCCAAGAGAAACACACACCCTGCTGGAACCCTCTGGAACCATCCAAAAAGTACCCCCTGTCTGGAGGCACGGCCAAGCGTCTTGATGTTTTTGGGGGGAAACCACGAGAGTCGCAATTTGGGGTCAACATCCATCTGGGTTCGGTTGTTGGTGCCTTGACTCAAACCACCAAAAGGGGAACCTCAGCCAACATGAGAAACTCGTTTGAATGGATCTTTGAAGCCCGGAAAAGGGACACACATGTCTCAGCCTCTACAACTCATACAGCATGGTGTTCGGTTGCTCCAAGCCCCAAGCAAAGAGCAAAAGGCTTTGGTTTGCTACACACAAGTCATACAAGAGCAAAAGGTCCATCGCCTTTGGTCTACTGGAGCCATTTCCTTCAAACGAACTCGGTCCTAAACCTACCGGGGCCGCGCCTTGTTGAGGTTCTTGGTGGCGACCTTGGTCACCATGTACCTTGGTCGGATCCATTCGGATTCAAGGCGTCATTATGTGCTTGGTTGACTTCCAAGGGGACCCCTCCCTCCGCCATCTTTTTTGGTTTTTTTGGACTTTAAAGGGCAACGCTTCCCGACAAAAGCAAAAAAGGGCACCACTGGTCAACTGGGGTCCCTATGCTCTTTCTTCATGGGCTGTGCCTGAATATCCGGGAACCCTCCCCCTTGTACTTTTGGGCGCTGTCCAACTTGGGCTTGACCTGAACACCCAAGGAAATCTTCCATCGTTGCTTGCGGGGTTCCATTGCCTGCCTTGAAAACCAAGGCTCGTTTCCTAGGGCAAACCTAGGGTCGTCTCTGCAACGAAGGGCTGTTTCCCTTTTCGCCTTCATTTACACCGCCCAAGACATCTCCCATCTTGGGCTGCTTCCTTTTTTTTTATAGTCCTTCTACCGCCCAAGACAGCCCCCAGGAACGCCACCCAAATTCCAAACGCAAGGAGACAAACCAAGGGTTGCTTCCCTTTTGGCAGACATCCCCCATCTGAGAGGGTTGTTTCCTTTTTTATTAATAAACCACCCAACACAAATACCCCATTTGCCTTGAACACCGTTATCCGCAACCAAGAGCTGCCTCCCTTTTGGCCTCGAAACCGTTTCGACGCCTGGCCCATTTGAGTCACATTCAAAATCCGGTACAAAAATTGGCTCTCCCAGAACCATGCTTCAAGAAAAAAAAGGCGGCCATTGGCTGGAATTGTCCCTTACTAACCTCCACTTACCCGGGTTTTGAGGACTTGGCTGCGGGTCAAACAATGCAAAATTCAACCCTGGTAAATGAAAATATGGGTTCTAAAATCATTTTGAGGCAAAAACCCGGTCACCCCACGTGTTTTCAGCTTCCGACATGCTCCTTGACCCGCGTCATGATACCCCACGCCCACGCTGGTGAACATCCCAATCCCCACTTATCCTGGTGGTTTAATTTTCACCCATACCCCACGCTGGTGAACATCCCCATCCCCACTAAAATAGGTTCCAAAATGGGTGGTGCACCTACCCCAAAATGACATCCCATTGGTCCGTGTTGACCCACAGCCAAACCCATTTCTCGTCCCAGGCGCAGCCCTTGGAAGTCGAAGGTCTTCGCCTCTGCATCTGCGAAGGCGCTGAGAGCGATGGAGGCCAAATTGCACACCGCCACCTGAATGGGAAAACGTGTTATATACCTGATAGAAGAAATATAAGAAGAAGAAACCATCGGGTGAATTATAAGCTACATGTGAATATAAGAAAAACATATTGTGTAAACATAATGGTAAAATGTATGCCTATATTTACACATATGTAAAGCGTGATGTATGTTGGTGTATATAAGTATCTATATACATATAAGCATTGCAGCACTCATATCTTCATTGATGCACCCAAGCACACACCAAGTTGCTTGTTTCTTCAAGAGCGGGGCTCAACAAAAATACGCTGGCTCAATACTGGGAATGTGTCACAAGCGGCGCCCTGGATCAGAACGGAATAAACGCAGGAACTGCGACAAAACCTATGTTGTGATCGTACCAATTGTTCCAGAACATAGTCTATGGCCGTATTTGTTTAAACTAAAAACAATGATCATAAGTATCCTATTCTTATGATTATTATAATTAGTATTGTTATTTTGACTATTATTGTTATTATTGTTATTACCATTGTTATTATTATTGTTATTATTACTATTATTATTGTTATTATCATTATTATTTATAGTCTCATTGTTATTATAATTGTAATTATCATTATTATTATTATTCGTATTCTCATTAATATTGATTATTATCATCATTATTGATTGTTATTAACATGATTAATGAATATCATTATGATTATTGCTGTTATTATTATTAGTCTTATTAGTCTCATCGTTACTATTATTAATTATTGTTTCATTATTGTTATTATTATTACTATTATTATTAATATTATTACTATTATTATTTTGTTTAATCATTATTATGTTTGTTGTTAGTATTGTTCTTGTTGCTATTATTATTAAAACAAACACATAGAGAGGTGGGAAAAGAGTGCCTCCAAGAACCCCTCTTTCGATCTTCCGAGTAAGTTCAAAGGGATATGTAAACAGCGCTTAGAGCCGCTTGCATTATTGTCTGGTTAAAAATATCGTCTAGCTTCATGTACTAAGATTTGGGCTTGGAAGTGTGCCTTGTCAAAACCTCGGAATCCAATGGCGTGTGCCATTCTGCTGTCGGGAGGTCCTGAAAATGTGTGAGCGAATCGACTCCATGTGGCATGGTCAAACTCACCGTGGTCATGGTTCTCTTTGAAGGCCTTGGTGGGGATTCTAATAGTTGATGACCACCCCTACGTATCTCCAGCTGAAAGCGTGTTTTCACCATGGCTCAAGTGGCAACTCATGTTGAACGTGTCATGTTCAAAGAGGGATGCAACTCGCAGGGTCGGGTGACCAATCCAAGCCAACTCCCACCCTTCGAAAATTTCGACATGGCCGCTTCTTCCATTAAGCTCTGCTTTGAAACAGCTATTGTGTAAACTTGATTCCACAAACTCCTTGTTGTCCTTGCTTTTCCTCAACTGGTTGCAGTTCCTTGTATGTCCGCAGGTTTTTCATGGCCTCCAGCCCTCGCCCGACAGCCTCATCCGGGGAGGTGTACTCCACGATCTCTGTGCAGAGGTTGGAGCAGTGGATGGTGCCCAAGTTCTGTTGGTTGGACTTGCGATTGCAGCTGTCCTGGCATCGGATCAGCTACGGGGGGGGGGGAATTTGGTCTGGGGTTTTGGCAACCGCATCTACAGATATGGGGGGGGGTGAATTTGGTCTGGGGTTTTGGCTCCACCCAGAACTTGCCGGGTCTCCCAACAAAAAAAGGGCGCTTCGGTCACTCACGAACACACACAACCCAAGCAGCGCCTCGTGGGAACCGGATCTCTCCCCCAAAGGAACCGGATCAAATGTTGACTCAGCGCCATAGTGCATGGACGCAATCCTCTTAGGCACCACCCAAGAAACCCAAAGGAAGGATGCGATTCCCCGACGTAAATACCAACAAGCAGTGGGTTTCAACCATGGTTGCAAAGTGGTGCGAAATGGATTTTGTCCATCCACAGTAGCACCACCAGCCATCGCAGCCTGGTGACTGCTAGTGGTCAAGAAGAACCATTGACTCAGATGCCCAGTGGCCATGGGAAAAAAGGGCATCCTTATTGGATGGTTGAGTTTAAAGGGCAGCCCTTCCCAAAAGTTGAAAAAAGGGCGGAATCCACTGGGCAACTGGGTTTAGGGATCGAGCCGAACTATTCCTCAACGGGCAGACTTGTGGCTTGGCTTTTACAGAGATTTAATTAATTGCACCCCTAGTTGAATCATCAATTCTTCGAACATCATGGGGGCGCGGCTGCCGCCCCCCCCCCCCCCCAACCCCCGCTAGTTTTTAGACTTTTTGCAGAGATTTAATTGCACCCCTAGGGGGGGGGCAGCCCCCCCCAAACCCCCCCCGCTCTTTTTTTAATTGTTTTTTGTTTGTTTTTTGCTGGGATTGAAATGCCCTCCTGTTTGAAGCATTATGTTTTTGACGCCGTCAACCCGCCAGCTACTTTTTGGATTTTGTTACCCACGATTTGTTGGTGCTGGCGGTCCCGTTGAGGTTTGAACCATACTTTGGATGGACGAAATCCTGCACCACTTTGAAACCATGGAAAGGCATTGTTGGTGGGTATTTACAGGGGAATCATCATTCCAGGGTTTCTTAGGTGGTGCAGGATTTCGTCCATCGACAGTATCGTCTGGATATAATGACTCAACCTGAAGTCAAGGATCCCAAAGGAGGCTTGAGGGGTGTTTGGTCCTGACATGGCTGTGGGTCGACTAAAACCCCTGCTGGTTAAAGAAAGCTCATGAGTTCTGTGCTGGCTTGTGCTTCAATGTGCGGAGCCACCAGAAAACCGGCCAACTTGTGCTGCTTTTCGCGCGCGGATCAGACCGAAGACGTCCAGAACGCCTTGTAGAGCATGTAGGGCGTGCCCGTCTCCATCTGCGCTTCCAGGATTCGGAACCAGAGCTGCTGAGCCTTCACCTGCCCCGTGAGCTCGTGCACAGCGCACATGGGCGGTGGCGCAAAAAACCGGAAGTCCAAATTGGGTTGCCCTGGGAAGTGGAAACAGGGACCAAACCCTGCGGTTTGCCCCTGTGGTTTGATTTTGAGCCACGCCCACATGAGTTCAGCCAGAAATTCAAAGACCTGGGCCGGCCGAAGGCTCATGTAGCAAAGGGCGACATGAGACTTGCCACACCCGGCCGAACGCCGCACAGCTTCCCGGTGCAGAGGCCTACCAACCCAGAGCCAGCTTCGTCAGCCATACCCGGCTACCGTCGACTGACCCCGGCTGCGCTTGTTGCTTAGCCCTTGCTAAGGCAGCCCCAAGGATTCGAGGCTGGACATCGCCCAGAGAAACTCGCGACTTGGTTCGATCTGGCTAGTTTGAGAAGAAATGGAGGTCGCCCTGAAGACATGTGACTGTCCCGTCACGCCACCCAAACAGGCAGGACACCTGCACACTTCAAAGGATTCTCCCGGACCAAGCAACGCAAAGAAATCGAACCGTCAAACTTCCCAACCCGTATGTTCACAACCAACTTAGTTTTGCACCCGCCCCCCCAAACATAAACAGGACCAAGAAAGCAAGACCACTGAGCATGCCAGTGAAGCACTGGCACCCCCGCTGTTGGATTCACCTTGAAAGGGGAAACCAACCGTGGAGATTTTAGGGTCTCTCGGTTCCCCCTCCCCATGCGTGTTTTAGGATCAGCTGACTTTTCACACATCCCTTCTCCGTGTTTGCGTGTCCCCTGATGCTTCTTTGAGGTGCCTTGTCCACTTTAAAGGGAACCCAACAAAGGCGTTTTCAACAGCGGCGTTGTGTTGCTGTTGTTTTTGGTGTTGTTTTACATGGCTTAAAAGAAGGTATCCCAACCCTGAAACCAGCCAATCCTCCAGGGCTTTGAACTCCTTCGGGCCAAGTCGCAGTCTTGCGTCCTTTGCCCTCCGCCTCCAGCCTGTTGTATAGCCGCTCAAAGTCTGCGCCCCACAAGTCGATGAGACCCTTGCCGGTCTCCTGCAGGGCTGGTGACCCTAGACTTGGAAGGACTACCTACACATGATCACCCCGTGCTTCTCGTCTACGGCCGACCGAGCCGGTGCCGGGTTTGAATAAAGCCTCTGCTTGTTTTGTTTAAAGCCCCGGTTGCGAGACACCACACCCAGAATTCCAAGGTGTTGGGCGCATGTTCCGAACGGATCCTAGAAAGGTAAACCCACACCAACTTGTTGGTATCCTCAAACAGGAGTCTCGCCCCCGCCCGTTTTCCATGGATGTTCCCTCCTTTTCAGGGATCCTCCTTTCCGAAACATTGACATGGGGTATTCGGCACTTCCCCATCAAGCATCACCCCTACAAAGACTCACCTGTGGGCCAAACAGGCGTTCATACCATCCCAAAGAGAACATTATCTGGGCTTGTGTTTCTAAATTTGAACCAACAAGTACCCCAAAAAATGACCGCCAATAACGACCCCTCTAAAAATAATCGTTGTCGCTCTTGGTGTCCCCTTGCTCCGCCCAGCAAAGGGGAAAAACATCAAGGGACTTCCGGACAGCCCCCAAAACGACGTCTTCTTGCTGACGTCTGGCCTGGTCAAAGGCCTCGTTGGGGCAGAAGAGCGTCCAGTCCTTGTTCTCCTGCAAAAGGGGACACTAACACGGAAACTGCTTGAAGGCCCCTGGGCGACAATCTTTTACACCGAAAGGACCAATCTGGGGTCCGTCATTCTGTTGAAACACGTTCAAACCAGTCTCCTGAAGGGAGCTTCAGGAGCTCGTCCTGTCAACATGTGTGTGTGTGTCTTGAGGGCAATCACCACCAGGAAACTAAGGCCCAGTCTAGGATTCTAGGGTCCATGTCCAATTTGGAGACAAAGACAGTTGCCCAGCGTCGTTGTTCCGCCCTCGTTTACCTCAGCTTGCTACTAGATCCTTCGATCCTGGTTCATATTAGCAAACGTGTGACATGTCATGGATGTTGCTCAGTGACCCTGAATAAGACTAGGTCCTCCAGTAAAAAAGGTTAGAATAAGGGTACCGGTTCTTTTTTCTGTAGTCTATTTGAGCAGGGGAAGCCTCCCCCAAAAAAGGGAGAGAAGGGCACTACTGGGGGACCTAGAAGAATTGCCCTTTCTGGAAAAAGTGTTGTGTCCCAGCCAAGGGACCTGATTCATGCCAACGGGAAGCGAGAAGTCGCCTCTCTGAACCAACCCACCCCTTGTAAAATGTGTAAACAAAACAATGTGTTCAAAAGTGTCAGAAGCACAACATTGTTCACTTTGTTTAGACAACAACTGGGTTTCCATTCGTTTGCAACAAATAGGCCATGGTTTGCTTGAGACCGATTTGGAGTGGGCTCCCGAACCTAAAGCACACCGGGTTTCTACACTACAGGTCAACACGGAACCAACAAAACACTAGTTTCAGAGGAGCCTCGACAGATGGGTGTGTCTTGTTTGGAGGGTACCCTTTTCACATTTTTTGGAAACCAAAAGGAAAGCCAACCAGACAAACCCAAAAACGGGGTGCCCGCCAAAAATAATGGAAAATATCTGCCCAAACTAGCGCGCCTTTGGGAAGTTTCAATTTCTCGTTGGCAGTGGGTCAAAAATAGGTGCCCAAAATGGAACCCTGGTAAATGGAACCAAGGACTGAAATCTGCAGTTCAATTCCCGATTTTTTTGGTAATTTGGACCTATGCCCATTTTGAGGCAAAAACCCGAGAGTCACCCCAGTGAACAAAGCTTCCGACATGCTCCTTGACCCGCGTCATGAAGAGGTCCGGGATCCAGAGGCCCAGGAAGAGGTCACGGGCCCTCTGCTCCTCCTGCGGGTGGAAACCACTCATTCGCTTTCAAAGAGGAACGGGGAGGAGGGGGGGAGGGGGGGGACACCCCCACCCCCAACCCGTCATGTTGCGTGCGTTTTTCAGGGACGCAACGGGCTCAGACGTGGATGTTCAAACCATCCAAAAAAAGAACACATGCACTTGTGTTTTACGCCGGGAGTCCCCCCGCAGAATGGTTGCTTTTCCCTTGTCCCCCTTCAAACCCCCAAAGCACCCTCCCACATGCATTCCTCTCAGAAACAAAAAAGACCCAAAAGCCACGGGTTGCTTTTCCCTTGCTCTCCCCCTTCAACCCCCGCCCCAAAAAAAAGAAAAAACACAAGTATTGCAACCCAAAAAAAAAAGCCAAGGGTCCCCCGTCCCCGGCCTCCCCGGTCTCCCCACCCCCGAGTCACTCCCCCCGGGAAGGCCTTGCCGTGGTTCTTCCTCAGCTCCAGAAAGTCGAAGACGTCGGCGTGCCAGGGCTCCAGGTACATGGCGAAGGAGCCCTTCCTCTTGCCGCCGCCCTGGTCCACGTACCTGCCGGACTCAACGAGCGGCGACGCGCCCTGGCGGAACACCGGGCAGGCAATCGCAAGCCAAGCTGCAAGGAACACCCAGGCAAATGGAGGTGCCTTGAAAAATAGGGTCCTGCCGGGTCCCCCTTTTGGGTAAGTAAAAGGGAAACCGGAAGGACCACTCCTCTATGAAAAAAAGTCGGTGGGGTTTTGTCATTTTGTAAGAGGCCCATGTTCTTTTAGTACTGGACAGCAGGGCTTGGAAAACCACCATCTGAAAAGGGCCTCCTCTCCACTTCCACATTTCTTGGAGAAGGGGTAGATGTTTAGATATTGTTCTTCGTTGCTCCTGTTGGTGGTAAGTAGGACCAAACCAAATATTTTTTGCTGACCACAGCGCAAAAGGCTCGAACTCGCCCATCTCAGCCAGGCCACCGGGCTGTTTCGTTGAAATTTCGCAACATCGGCACCAGGCCGTTGCTTTTGCCGTTGGTGCCCCGGATGTAGGCCCCAGACGCGCGGACGTTGGAGATGGCAACCCCGATGCCTTGGCTTCATGGGAAAACAGATCTACCAAAACACAGGACCAGCATCCTGGTTGCTGCTGGCCCCTCTGCAAAAAGTTTAACTTGCGCGCGTCCGATAAAACAAGTCCGCGGCGGTGGTGTCTTCTAATTGTTTAGGCTTGGCAACTGTTTAGGGTTGGACCTTGCATCCTGGACCCTTGCATCTGTAGACACTTGTATCCTTGGACCCTTGAAGCCCTGGACCCTTTTGTCACAGACACACAGCAAACTCCAGCCAGTTGAGCCCATGGACTCCTGAGCCTTGGGCCTCTTGAAAGTCAGACCCTTTGGACGCCTGTGTCTGCGGGCTAATGGGCCTTTGATTTCGGCTCCTTGCACCCTTGTATCCATTTCTTTCTGCCCCTCTCACAAGCATGGCTTGCTAGACCCTTGCCCCAATGAGCCACTGCAAGCTTTTCAAACAATTGCACTGGCCAAGGCCCATGACTGAAAGCAAACCATGCCGGAAGATTGCAGACACGTGCGAAGCACAGTAAACTCCAGCCAGCTGGGGATGCATGTCATCGCGCGAAATCCCTTTCACACGGCAACAAGGCAATCACCAAGGAATTTCTCCCGAAGTTGGTCATTTTGAACGTTAGGCCCTTTGGACCAGTGTCTGCGGGCCAGCCCTTGTATCCTTTCTTTTTGGCGCCCCTTACGAGCATCTACCTTCTCTACTCGCGCTGGTGCTTCGTTTGGCACTTCCTGCAGCGACTCCCCTTCGGTCGTCCGCACTGCCGCAGGAACCAGAGGCGGGTATCCTCGCGCTTTGTGCCACGTGTGCAGTCACCACTGTTCCTTGCGCGGCGAGCGGCATTGAAGAAACTCACGACTTGGAAGCGATAAACCAAAAAAATGGCCCCGGTGGACAGGGGTTGCAGGCTCACTCTTATGGGTGTCAGCCAGTTCAAGGCAAGAAGTCGTAGAAGGCATTGGATGGCTCAGTGTCTGCATTGTAACACCCTGAGCGCCGCGGCTCTCGCAGGGTCGATCTATTTTCATCTCTAGCTAGCCCCGTCGGGCTTCAAAAACGTGTGCGCATGAATCGCTGGAAGGGTCCTGGCGCGCAAGCTCTTCTGGCTGCTTAAGCCCCTGAATCCTTCGTGCCTGCACTTTCTCTGTTTCTTCTTTGGCTTGGCCGCCTTCACTTGCTCCGTCTTTGCTGTCTGTGTCTGCTACTTGGCTTCTGTGCGAAGACAAAAGATTCTTCCGCGGTCCATTGCCTTTCTCAGCTCCTTCCCCTGGGCGGGCTCCGCGGGTCAGTCTTTTCAGGCGTCGGATTCTGCGCTCGACGTCGCCTAGTCGGGGGAGAGGGCGTCCCGAGCCAGTCGCTGGCTACATGTGCTTCCCTCTCTGTCAAAAACTGCGTGAAAGAGTCGATCAAGCAGTACCAGAAGTAGAGGTAAGTCATGGCTTGAACTGGCTGAGCTGGCTTGAACCAATCGTGGCAACAAGGAGAAAACTTCGTGATGATAAGGGAGAAACCACCGCAGCCGCTAACAACCGTAGCAAATGTGCTGAGAAACAAGCTTCCCCAAAGGACCCCCAAACGACCATGCGAAGCACATCTGAAATGCTGCAGAAATGAACACACTGATATTTTTAATTTTATTTTTAAAGAGATGAATGCTTAAAAGACACACACAGTTAAACCAATGTTCAAAACAATTTCGTAAACAACTGTCTGTTTTGGAAACAATGTAAGAATGATTTGTCTGCTTTTTTTTCGACTTCAGCACAGTGGGTCTTAAATACATTCAAATGTCGGATTTTCGGGCCCTGGGGCTCCTGAGTCATCATACTTTTGGAAAGTGGTTCAAGCCTTGACCCTTGTGAAGGCCGAAAACTGATAGACCAGATATCCAGTGGCACAAATCCTGATGCTTGGCAGAAAATGGATGGACTAGATAGCCTGTCCAGGGATGCAAGGCCAAGGCCCAAAATTCATTAACCAGAAATCCACAGGGATCAAGCAATGGCAAGGGTCAAGGGTCTCAAGGGTCCAAGGCTGCAAATTTTACGAAATCGAAAAGCCCAAGAGTCAAGGACCAGACACCCGAAATCACCCGCGTATCCACATGCCCCGAACATTCCAGCAACGCAAGGATCCACAGACACAATGGTCCAGGGTTACAAGGGTCCAATGGTACAAGAGTCCAGCTGGCCTCTTGCAATCCTTGAGAGCTTTGGACCCCTGGACTCGTCAGAGCATCCTGTCGGGATGTTGGAAAAGTCCCTTGGACCCTTGGACCCTTGGGGATGTGGGATCCAACCCGGGATGTTGGAAAAGGGGGTGGACTCTTGTGTATGACACGGGGTCGGGATGGCTCCACACAGTTCCGGGCAAATGGCCACAAAGTCATGTAACTCGAAACAAACATGGAGGTTGGACCAGGTACAAACTCTGACCAACCACCTGGGTTGACAGACTTTCGAAACAAATGTTGTCCCGGGGTAGTTTCTAGGGTGTGTTGCAAACCAAAAGAAAGAAACGAAACAACCAACGGTGCCAAAAAAATTGACCTACCTCCGAAGAACAAAAAATCAAAAAAACTATAGGACCAACCGACCAAGCTGCCCCCAGCGGACTTGGAGATCTGGGCGCACTGCTTCAAGGTGTCGTAGATGCCCTCGATGCTGTCGTCCTTCCTTTGTTGGACCCCTGCAAGCTGTGTCCAAAGGTCCAGAGGAAAAGAAGAAACATAAGAACAAAAAGCAAAGAAGAAGAAGAAGAAGAAGAAGGCGAAAGGAGACAAGGGAGGGCAAACGAAGGAAAGAGCAGAAACGAAGAGGAATCGGTAGAACCGAGTATAGCCAGGCTTTGCTTGTCGGGACTATCTTCGGGGCCCCTTGAAGCGGCCCAGCTCAGCACTGCGGCTTTGCTTCGTCAGCCAATGGCTCAAGTCGTGGCCGCTCCAAACGGGCCCAGAAACGGACATGTTTGGAGGTGTTTCTTCTGAGCTTTAGATATCCTGCAGCGCCCAGCGAAAAGCCAAACTTTTCGCACGTAAGGAAATACAAGGGGCAACCAAAAAGTTGAAGTCTAAAGATCCCTCCCGCCAAGTTGTGCACAAAGCCCTGCTTTTCTGCCCGATCCTCATCCCCCAGTCTCCTGCGACCAAGGTGGTCGGCACGCCCTCTGCGCCGGAAACTGCACTTTGAACGCCGGCAATGCCTCGAAGCCTTCTGTTCCTAAAGAGCCTGCACCAGGCACGTCGCCAGGAGCTGGCTCACCTTCCCTCCGGTGTTTTCCGTTGCAGTTTGGCCGGCTCTACACACCAACACCGGGGTTCAAGCCAGGGGGGGAAAAATATCCGCCAATATATTTGCCCACGGAGTTTCAGCCATTCTTTTAATCGGGGTACCCCTAGGGAACAGGATAGACGCCGCAACCAGCCGGGGCAGGCGAGGCAAGCGATCAGCGGCGGTAGCCGCGGCCATCCTTTCTGGTTCGACCGAATGACTGACTGAGCAAATAACAAATTAACTATTTAGTAACCAAGCCACCAACCAACCAACCAACCAAGCAAACAAACAAGCAAGCAAGCAACCAACCAAGCAACCAGCCAGCCAGCCAGCCAGCCAGCCACCCGGCCAGAAACCCCGCCCCAAAAAGGCTCAACACAAGAAACCCCACTCACACATCCACTCGCTCGCTTCGGCTGGGTCCGAGCTTCATGGTCAGCAGGAAGCAGGACGACATCTGGGGCTTGGGGGTGCCGGCGTTGAAGAGCGTGGGCGTGGCGTGCGTGAAGAACTTCCGCGACATCAGGTCCTCAGCCGGCGTGGAGCGCCCGCCGGGTGCGATGTCCATGGGGAGAACACATACACGAGAAAAACGCGGCACCGCGGGTTTTTTCGTTGAGTGGAACGGAGTGCCTATATTTCCCCTTTAAAGAGAGCCTCATCAAAGGGAAACTTGTTCGAATTGGCCCTTAAAGGCAATGCTTGAAGCCCACAGGAGAAATACAAGGAACCTCGGTTGGAAGGGAAGCCCTTCGCAAACAAAGGGACAAAGGGTGCTATTGGGCAAGAAGTTTCCCGTTTGGGGGTAGAAAAAAAAAAGGCACGTGATAGGTTTCTAGGCGGGGGATCAGCGTGGAAAATCAGCGTCGGGACACTTGCTACAGGGGGATCCCTTGGCTCACAGCAAGCGTGTGGTAAAATGGCTTGCTTATTTGTTCATCCCTACCCTGAAAACCAGCCGGATGGATTGCATGTTGGTTGCACAAAGGCGCTAAATGGAAACACATGGAATGCAGCTTGGCTCGGGGGGCTGGGCTGGTTGCATGACGATACTGTCAGGCAGTTGGAAACCCACGAGCACGGAAGCCAACAACAAAAGCAAGCACCAAGGGGACAGGTTTATTAGAACCCATTGAACAAATTGAACCGGGCGCCCTCACCTTTGCTATCAAAAGAAAACGGACTAAGAACCAGCCTTCCTGGTGGAGAGGATCGATCGCCGTTTGTTTTTGGGATCGACAAACCAAAATCAGAGGCAATCCTTAGTTGATGCTTTGGCTCAGCCCGGTTTGGATTCGGATTTGAACTGGTCCTTAGTTCTTGTAGAGGGTAAGTGGGAAACCCTCCTGGCACCTAGAAAGAGCGAACAAACCGACCCATGGAAGGCGACGAAGGCTCGTACGTCTCCAGGGTGGCGGACAGGTCGCCGCCTCGGCTTTTTGCCGGTTGAAGGCGAGCTGGGTTGAAGGTCCCCGGGTTGGAATTGGGGGTTGGGGGGGGTTGGGGGGGTTGGGGGTCGGGGTTGGGGGGGTTCGGGGGGTTGGAGGGGCTGGGTGGGGTTGGGGCGGTTGGGGGTTGGGTGGGTTGATTCATGTCCCATTCTTTTAACCATCGTTCTTTCCCAAAACCAGATCCGTTTTCCCCTGGTTTCCTGGAAAGAATGGGGAAGGTACCCCTAGAGGGACGTGTTGCATCTTTCCGCCACACCCGTGGAAGAACATGGTCGTACAGGACCCCCCTTTTCCCCCCCAGTCATCTTAGATACTTATTACAACCTGCTTTGAAACACCCTGCTTTGGCACAAAACCAAAGGTCAGGGGAGCTGAAAAAGGCTAACTTTTTCCATTCCGTGTTTTGCTTGGGTTTGCGCCGTGTCTATGATGGTTCGCGTAGTCGATGTGTTGCTGGAACGCGCTATTGCGTTTGCACCCTGGCTGCTGGAACTGTTTCTAATATTCACCTTGGTTGATGCGCAACACCAAATGCTGGTATGCGCCTTGCTGACGCCATAGTCTGCGCAAGCCGGCGTGTGAGCAACAACATGACGGGCGTCAGCCGCCAGATCCTATTTGAGGGCAGCGCGATATAGGAGGTGCTCGAATGTGCCCGCGCAAGCGACCCACATGTGGAGCGGGGAACAAGGGGTGCATTTTCAAGGTGGGAGTATCGGGGTCAGTGTCGCTTTCCTTTTAATATGTTTAAAGTGTGCTACTGTGTTCCAAAATTGGCCCGGACGAGGCGGGGCCCAAAATCGGGAATTTGTTAGCATTCTTCAGCATTTTTTAGCATATTTTAGCATTTGTTAGCTTTTGTTAGCGTTTGTTAGAGTTTGTTAGCTTTTCGTAGCTTTTGCCGCAATTTGTTGCCATTTTTGCAATCTTCAGCAGGTTTTGGGGGGGGGGGGGGGCTGCAAACACTTTTGTCACGCTGGGCCGCCTTAATGCGTGAAATGTGACACGAAGGCCGTCGCGCGCCATGAGCGTTTTAGCTGAGAAGCAGTAACATGTTTGCAGAAATGGCCAGGCGAGCAGTGAAGGGATTGTTCTGCGGGGTCTCCATAGGTGCTTTGTAAGAGGCCCGGCTCCGTCGTGATCTTGCCGTTTGTGCGTTCAACGCGCAAGCAACTGAACGTATCTTGGGGACGAAGGCAAGCGACCCAGCCACCCGGCCACGCAAGTGAACGTTCTTCCAAACATGGCGCGGGCCTAAGGGTGGACTGCCTCATAATGAGGCATTTTCTTTTGTTGCCAGTTCATGCTCTTGAAAGCCTTGTTGGATTGTTTTGCTGCACAGTTGCTGCGTTAGCCTTTTTTAGTTTTTGTTAGTTTTTGTTAGCTTTCTTTAGCTTTCTGTAGATTTGTGTAGCTCCCAGCAGGTTTCTTATTGGAATTTGTTAGCACCAGCATGTTGGCCCTCGCGCTTGAAGCAGGCTGTTTCAAAGCGGTATGTTACATGTTTCAATGAAGTCAGGTTCCATGTTAGTAGAGCAAACGGACGCTTCAATTTCCCTGCCAATGTTTCCCTGCCACCAATTTACGTGGAACCTGACAGGGGGTCCCTTTGGTCTTACAGGACCCGCCAGCCAGGTTCCACTCTAGTGGATGGGAGGGGTGTTTCTAGGGGTGGAACTCATACTCGAGGGTGCCTTTTTCATGCAACAGGTCTTGCAGGACCCCCCAGTCAGGTTCCATGTTTATGGGAGTGGGTGTTTCCAGAGAGATCCCCCCCTTCTTTTCACGTGTGGTTTGCGTGGAATTTGGCATCTGCGCACAAAACAGCAAGTTGCCTCTTTCGGTTAGCTGATTCCAAGACCCCCAAACAGAAAACATGGCGCATCGGAGGGCCACTTGTTGGTTGAGTTCGAATCCCCGCAACGCCCCGAAACCGCGTTGCGGCAAATGGTCTTTTCTATGATACCAAAGTGGTTGACTCCCATCCCTATGACTGAACCTCACTCACAAAGGGGATCCTCCTGGCTCACAGGAAATGACCACCTGGAACCCTATTTTCCATATGAACTCCTGGTGGGTTTCAACCGAAAGGAAATCACGACCATCTGCAGTTTGTTTGTTTATACACACAATTTCACAAGAATAAGAATTGAATCCTCAAAAAGGACCATGTCATGGCTTTCGCTCGCTTTACCCCCCTTCTTTTTTCGGCGAGCTCGAACCCCAAAATCGGCCGCTTGCCATGGCTGAGCAAGGAGGGCGGACCCGTTGAAGCTGGGCCGCAGTGGATCCCACAGGCGGCCCGCATGATCATGTGCTGAGGCCGTTCCACAATCTTCCCGTGCACGCGCAAGAGGTAGGACTTCCTTACAAAACAAGCACCCACCCGCAAATGTTCATGGGTATTTAGGGTTGGTTGAAACGGACACCACAAAGGAAAGCCCCCCCCCGTCTCCGAAATTAATGTTGACCTCATACTGATCAACCCCAGTTTATTAATAGGGGGCGGTCCCTCCAAAAGTGATGATTCCCCAGGAACACTCCCCTATTAAACTGGGGTTGATTAATCTGGGGTTGCCAGTAAACGGGGTCTTTCCTTTTGAGGGTACCCATTTAGGGTTGGTTGAAAGGGAAACCAAGAAGGAAATAGCCCTATTTTGACACATACGCATTATGGAAGCCCAACAGGGGAGTCATCCGAAAGGAGCAAGTCTCTACGCAGACATTGGGGTTCCATGTTGCCTGTGTAGCCTGAAAATAATCGGTGACTTGAAACTCAGAGGAATGGACATAAGCAGAGGGGCGTGCGCTTTTGTCGGTTGGCCTTGACAAAAACCAAAGGAAAACCACCATGAGAGTACGAATCCCAGGAGGGAGACTTGGGGGGGATTTCTCAAAACGAACCCAGCCTTTGGTTGGGAGTGCAAGAGATATATACCATAGGGACACCGACCAAGACCCACTGTAAGCCAGGCACAAGCGTTCATTTGTTTGCTAGATCCCTGTAATACAGAAAAAAGAAGAAGAAACAAAAACAGCGGGCTTACACCGACTGGGAATTGCCTTGTTGTGGATGCATTTTCCTAATGTGCTCAAGTACAATCCTTCGACACTTGACAACTTGCGACGGGGTTTCTCGCCCAAAGGAACTGCTTCCTACGACGAAATCCAGCCCGCATGTGTAAATGCTGACGATTGTTCTCTTCCAATGGCTTCAATGGGTTGTGCCAAGACCAAAGTGGGTGAGGGTTTGTGTGCATTTTGACCTGGATTCCGTAGGTACACCATAAATCCAGAACCCAAAAAAAATGGTAGCCCGCTTGGGTTTGAGTCCACCTTGTGGTAATCAAAACTGGAACCCTGCCTCAAAATAAGCAGCGCTCAACTTTGACCAAAGACACCAAATGTCTCACGAGTTTGACCCCTCCGGCAATCGTCAATTTCTTGGTTCTCAAACCAATGGATTCGCTGCAATAGGTCCCGCATACTCCCTCGGTAACCATCACGAGGAAAGGCATCACACTGAAACATGCCCCAAACGGTGATGCTTAAACTAAAGAGAACATATGCGGATTGTCTCTAGACGGACCCAAACTGGCGCCTGGCCTTTTGGTTTCCCGCCTGCCCAGAAAGAGTTCGAGCCTCAAAAAGACTCCCATTTGGGTTGTCTCCGGGGCACCTTCCCCCCTTTCCCCCGCCCCATAAACAAGAAAAACTTAAAAATATGCTGTTTGCCTGTGGTTTCTCCCGAGAAGGGCACAAGGAAAAAAACATTCCCCGCGCGTCCCATGTGACTCTCTTGTTGCTCACTTCCGACCCACGCAACAAGAATCAACAAGCTGTTTGCCTGTGGTTGCTTCCCAAAAGGGTACAAGAAAAACAACTTCCACACGCGCGTGCCACGTGATCTTTCGGCTTCTTCTTTTTTGAGCTTCTCCAAGGTCTTGAAGCCAAAGTAGTCGTAGCCCAGGTCCCTCTTGTAGTCCACCGCCGCATCCAGCGCCGCACCGTGCTCCACCACGAAGCGGTACACGTCGTCGGCCAAGAGCGTGGCTGGTCGCCCCTGCTGATCCTTGTACCTCGATGAGGTCTCAAAAAAAAGGGAGTGCCCAGTTTCCTTCTTGGTTTGCCGGCAAAACCAACCAAAACCGCGTTCCTGAAAACGAACAGCCCCAGAGTAGTTGCATGGCTTCCGGTTGGTTTGCCTGTAAAGCCAACCGAAACGGCGTTCCCAAAAACAATCACGCCTAGTGAATAAACGGCAAGCCAGACTTCGAAGGACTCAACGAATGAAGCAATTTCAACATCCCATCTTCGGTCTTGGATTCTCTGAGGAAACCCGCCCATCAGTCGACAAAGGACAGCATCTACTTGCTGAGTTACTCGTACAAGACCCGGCAGGTCTCACAGAAGGAGTCCGAGGTGTTCTTGTGAAGGTTCGAGATTGCAATGCCTCAGTTGGTCAGAGGCATTTGCCCTGCAAGCACTTGTTGTTTGTTTCGAAAGCTGTCAGTTGGGTATGGACAATTCAGAGCCCTTTAGATAGTCCGGACCCCCCTCAACGGCATCAATTGTTTGATTGAGTGACTCGAGCACTTTGTCAGGCCATTTGCCAGCCATTCCCGGGTCTGCTCTTGGTTGGATTGATGTAACAGAACATCTTCGAGGGCAACTTTCAAATTCAGCTCCATTTCCAAGCTCCAATGGCGGTCTCCCGCATTCCTTCTTGAACTCGCACCCCCTTCTAAGGTAACTCACTTTCAGCCGGCCAAAACGGTGCCGGTTGAAGGATCTTTGAGGGTAGAAAGTTGGCCCCCTACCCTTTGGGTCCATCGAATAAGACCGCGCTGCGCGCCGCAAGGGTGGAGAAGTCCGGATGTTTCTGAGACATGTAGGCACATGTCTCAGCCGCCAGGGTGTCGATCTCTGCAGTCGCAATGCCGTTATAGAAACCTCTCAAGGAGGCAAACCTCCCAGACCCATGACGCCAGCCGTTTGTTTTTATGGACCCGGGCTCATTTGATTTGGATATTCTCCCAACATGCCCACCTCGGATCGATATGTCTTCTTGCCACAGACATTGAAGAAAATAGCTTTCCAGGTACTCTCCCAAGCTACCTTCTGTGCGTAGAGGGAAGTTGATTCACCACGAGCTTGCAGTGCTAGATTCCGATGACGTTGAACACCTTCTGAAATACCCTTTTACTTTATTTGGCCTCGTGGTTTGGTATGCTACAATCGACCAAACAAGTTTCTCGTGTTTTCGGTTGGCCCCAAACGCCTTCAATCACCTTCTGCGTGACCAGCACCGGATCGATGTAGTCGCTGTCCAAACCCTCGCACAGAGGCCGCAGGCGCCGAGTGATGGCATCGAACTTCACCTCCTGAAGTCCAATGAGCCAACGTCATATGAGCCGCGTCTACCGCCCATGGGCTTGTTCTTCTAAGATAGGCATTAAATGTGTATTTGGGTATGAGCTAAAATTGGGCACCCTATGGTGAACATGATGTAGATGGTGATGTAAGCCTACCAACCACTTTCAAGAAGTCCCCAATGAAATGCATACGTACCATCCAAGTAGTACTGCCACTTACTAAAGGGCCTACCGCACTTGACACCTCTATATTTTGCGGGGGGGGGGGGGGTTCTTGTTGTGTTTGCTGGAGGCAGCGCGCGCGAAGCCTTTTCAAATTGAGGGGGCAGAGGGGTGGGGCGCCGCTGCTTGTGTTGCCATCAAGTCTATGGGGGTCCCACCCATCCTACCGCTCTGCCCATTTGTATTATTCATTTACTGTGTGGCTAAATAACCCTGACATTCTTCCCCCGCCCAGTCCCTCCCTCCGCCTTCCCCACCCATATTACTAGTATTCAAATAATGAAAAGGCAAAACGATTCGCCCACCATTGCTTCCATCCTGGTCAACTCAGTCTCTCCCGCGCCATTTCCTATTTGTATTATTTAGGCAAGGAAGCCCAAATGATTTCCCGTACCATTATTCCTCCTTCTCGCCCGACCCCTAGCCCACCAGTTTTCGCCACGAGTATTGTTCAAACAATGGACGGCCATTGATGACTTCAGTGGCCATCATTTCTATCTTGATTTCTTCCCGACCACCGGTTTCCCTCACCATTATACCTATCCTTTTTCGCTGCCCCCCCCCCGGTCACCAGCCTCCGCCATTGGCATTGTTCAAATAAAGAACGGTCAAATGATTTTCGTCGCCATTATTTGGACACTCCTTCCCGACCACATCCCGCCTTTCCTGAATTAGCTTTAATACAGGGAGGCCAAGTCATACAGATGCCATCCACCCTTTCCACAGTAGTCCTTCCTCGTCCTGTCCCATTTGTGTTATTCAATTAACAGGGGCTGACATGATTTTTTCAAAACATAACTTTGCGCCCCCAGCCCAGTAACCCTTATTGCTTGCTTCTTTGCTACTGGCACAGGTTGCCGCCCCGCCGCATGTTTGGGCCCACGTCACAAGCCCCCCAACCCCGCCGCTGTAATTCGGGGCTGCTCCCCTTGACCCTCCCCAGAATGAATGCCCCAATTGTTTCCCGCCCCCACCCACCCCACTTTCCAAAATGACACAGCAAATAGTGGGAGGCCAACGCTTTCCTCTTTTTGTCAAAAATGGGGTGCCACTCAAATGGTTTCCCTTTCCATTCTTCCCATCTTCTCTCACTGGTAGTGAAAGGCCACATGATGCGGCAATTGTTTCTGTTCCTTGTTGTCAAACTATGAAAATGGGAGGCCGGATGTTTCTGTTTGTCGAAGTATGGGACGCCAAATGGTTGCGCAACAGTATTTCTATCCTTTTTTGCTGGCCAGCGAGGTCTCTCTGACATAAGTAAGGGCTGCCTACTGGGAGGCAATTGGGGTACAACATAGGAAACATGATCCGCTTTGGACATGGCAGGCAAGAGAGGACACTGTTTTGATGGCGCTTGCGGAGTCGCAAAGCTGAAGCAAACCAGGGCGCCCGAATAGTTAACCACAAATGGCATGATGGCCGGCAACATCAGGGGGGGCAATTTCGTGAGAGGCGGCTTGCGTGAGCACTTTTTCCTTTCAGAACGATCGCACGCCGCTTCGCTCCACCGCTTTTTTGCAACTTGATTGCTCAAAGCCTGGGCGGACCGCTTTGGCGGAATTAGCTCCCAGGAGCACGTAGTAGCTGCGTCTCCCTCAAGGATGCGCTTAGCCACTAAACCACTGAAAACATGGTTCCTGATAGTGACGCCGGTAGAGGTGTGGCGGTTCAGGCAGACTGCGCGTTGATTTTCAAGGCAGGACATTGCAACGTCTTTCTGTTCGTGGGTTTCTCTCCAGGGTCGAACACTTTCACAGCAGTGGTTGGGCCGGCGGGGTCTTTCCTTTTCGTGTTTCACTTTGTGGCAGACAATCCCGACCCGCGCCGCGCGCAGGGAGAATTCCTGGCTGCAGCTGAGGTCGCCACAGCCACAGGCACGACTGTAGCCTTCGCGGGCCCGCGCAGCGCGGGCCACGGCACCAACCCTGTCTGGCACGAAAGAGTGTCGCTAGGCGCAAAGCCACAAAACGCCACCTCCACCGCTGGCGCTGCCCAAGTGTACACAAGCGGGACTCCCTGTTCGCCTCCCTCTGCTTGGGGTGTGGTTGGCAGCAGCAAGGGCCAGCGCCGCGCCGATTGCAGTTCCGCGGAGGAAGGCGGATTTCGCCCCAGCAGCTGTCAGCTGACGACTTTACTGTCAGCTGGCAACTCGCAGCATCGTGCGACAGAGAAAATACAGCGCGCCCCGCATCGCCCAAGCCAGCCAGCGTGCTAGCACGGTGGACATGGTCGTATGACCCCACGCCATCAACCTGCCGGCATGAGAAAGCACACCCGGTCAGACAGATCACAGGCAACAACTTGCGTTCACGACAAAGGTGAAGGACAGCGCGCAAAGCTGCATGTGGCGTTTGGGAAGTAGGCGGCGCAGCACTCGCAAAAGCATCATGCCAAGACGGGCAATCATCCCAGCGCGGAGGCGGAGCAAGTTGCTGCACGCGGCCGCTTTGCAGCAGCACGGCGCGGCCGCCTCATGCCCCAACAGCAGCTCATGCACGCAGCACGTGCGCTTTCCCTCCCTGCACGCATGGGTGGCCTGGGCTTGTTGTGAGCGGAGACACATACACACAAACATCTACACAGATCCACTTTTGTTGTTTGGTTGATTGTTATTTACACGCGCGCGAGATTCTATTGTAACATTCTTGCCATACTCCATTTTTGCGCGGGGGCTTGTGCTCTCAACAACATGGACAAACGTGAAGCAAACCTGGCGCAGGTTGATTTTCAATCATGGGAGCTGGAGACACTGCAGCGTGCAGAGCCGGCATATTTCCGCTTGCAAAGCAAGAGCCGTTTTTCTTGCGGGTGTCTACTGTGCAATAAACTGGATGAACGAGTCAGCAGAAAACGCACAAGATGCAGAAAAAGTAAGAGGCGCGCGCGATACTATCACTGCACGAGCAAATCCAAACGCAGGACAGTGTTGAGAGCCCGTGCCGCGCATATCCGCAAAATTTCACAGCTGCGAAGCAACGCTGGCTTGCACACTTGCCAAGGCAGTTGTTTTGCCTGTGGAAATTGCCAATCGGCGAGCATCTCCATTTTTTGTCTTGTTCACCACGCCGTCAGACTTTCTATCAAACTTCCTGTCCTCGCTGATGTCATCAGCCAAGCCGGTGCGCGCGGAACGCTTGCGCGCCGTTCTGCTGTGCGCGTTCTCTCCAAGAGCAAGCGGGAAGTCAAGTTTGTCAAGCAGCAACATGGCTACATAATTTGCCAGCTCACCAGCTGGCGTGTTTGCTTATACAATAGTTATTCAATAGTTACGTATGGTAGTTGAAAGTATCTTGGTAGGCACCAAGGCTGCTAACCAGCAGGTTCTCGTCGTCATCGTCCGAAAGATCGAAGACAAGGCGCCCTCCTCATGTGGTGCTGCGGCTTGGACCGTGCACTTGCGGGTAAGCATACTAATGCACGCGCGCATGCACGACATTTGTACTGGATGTGCAAACATATGTGTATAAGTGAGTGTGTATATATAGAGAGAGTGGACGCATTCATGGTCATCCACAACCTCGCAAGACCCGCGCATGTTCAGAAAATGGGACCTGTGGCCTGTGAGCGCTTTACGCGCAAACAAATCGAGGACATCGCGGAAAATGGGCAACGCGGCAATGGCAAAGAATGATCACGTGTATCTTTCCGTGTCGCTTCAATGTTGCCATTGGTTGATGTTCTGGCCTGCGTTGCGATTTGGTGCGTGACGTCGCAGCAAGGCGGAGTGGAGCGCCCCAATGCGTATTGAGCGTGTGTATGCGTGTAAGCACACGCACACACACACACACACACTCGCGCGTGCATGTGCGAAATACGCACGTATGTGCAGGCACGCGCATGCACACCTGTACAAACATACCCGCGCACGTATGCCTGCACGCATGCGTGCATGTGCGCATGTATGAAAGAGTGCATAAAAAACATGTGCGCGTGTGAGTACCGAAGTATGTATGATGGTACGTCCGCATGCTAGCGCGCTAATTCGCATGCTAGTATGAGTTTAATGTGTGAGCGTTTGGAATGCGAAGGCGGGTGTGGAATTCGCAGCAGCTAGGCTCAAGAAAAATTCTGCGGCGGAGGCAGAGCCGAGGCAGCTCCAGGCCAGCCAGTGCGGCCCACTACTGCGCCTGAGGGATGGATCGGTCAATCGGTTTGTTTAGGGTTCCTCAAGGGTGGCAAGTGGTTTAACCACCTAAAATGGATCTTCCAACTCTGGAAATTGTGGGCCAAATTATGATATTTAAATTCAGGAGCGGTAGATAACGTCCAGGAGTTTTAGCAACAAGCCTTCAATTTCTGTCAGTTCTCACCCTGAAACCCAAACTCCGGCTCTCCCCCTTAGCTTTCCATCTCCGGAAATTTAGCATTTCCAGAGTTGGACGATCCAGGCTGTTAAACGCGAGGTGCACATGGGAAGGCGGTGGCAACATCAGGTTGAAATTCGTCGGCGTCAAATACGGTAGGCGTGCATACTAAAATGGCTCATAGCGGTTCGTTGCTATGTATATGTACAAGGAAACCAAACATCCAAAAACAAACACCAACTGAGTGGTGTGTTGATCCCTTGATAACAACCTTGGACTTTTTTTAGCGGGAAATGTCAAAACTCTAAACATCCAACCGCCTCAGCTGTGAAATGCCCCAGGCAATGTCAGTCCCTCTGGTGCCGGACCCCGGCTCAAAGTTTCTGGTTTCCAGGTGGCTTCCCTTGACAATCATCCCAACGTCCCTTTACCATCCAAACGACAGCAAACACGCGGTTTACCATGAACAAAGCAAGTTAAACTGATTGTGGTTTGGGGTCGGAGGGAATCGGGCGACAATTCGCCAACTGAAACTGAACCTCATGAGCCCAAATCTCGTATCCCAGCTTCCCAGCAAAGCCAGAAACAAAGGGACATGGAACCATGAAAGGAGTCCTGCTCATCCTCACCTTGGATGGCACGAGATGGGAATAAGGCCTCACTTTCATGTTGGAGCACTCGATCCATGTATTGCTTTCAGCCAGCTGTGTTCACGTGTTGGCAGCACAAATGCGGAGCGTAAAGAACTTCATTTACAACATGCTGGCCATTGTCTGATTCTTTTAAAGACTAGCAATTAATAAAGTACACAGCTGAACACCAGCTTTGCCAAGTGCGCCCAGTCCTGCTGAGTCCCGTTTCGCTTCACCACGTACTGCGGCATGGTATGGACTCTATCAACGTCTTTAAGGCCGGAGTGCTTGAGCCGTACGAGACAAGATTGCGCTGCTTCCCTGTCCCCCCGCCGCCTTTGCAAGCCAACAATAGACTGGGACGTTGGTCCCTGTCACATGAGATAAACTCGGCTGCCACACAAGTGTCCTCTTTAGCAAATGGCCATGTGGGTAGTGGTGCATGAAGGTCCTGTTTGCTGAAGGTCCTTTTTGCTCGCAAATCTCAGCAAGCAGAAACTGCTTACAAGTCTGCAAATCATGTCTCATCATCTCCAGGCTTCTCGATTTGTCAGCGCCTTTTTCCCCAACCCGTAAAAATTATGTTGGCACACAACTTGGTGCTTTGCGTCCATAAAAATAAAATGCCCAGGATCCAAGAAGTAGAGCGACTGCAACACAGGTAACTGTTAAGTCCAGTGTTGGGATCTTTCCCGCTGACTTCGGTGCTTTTTGACCCCTAAAAAGCGGCCGTGGCGGACGAAGCCCAATCAAATGCTGCCCACCTCTATACCAGGATCGGCTGGAGGGAGGAAATTGCCTCGACCAGTGCTCAAACAGAGGCTGTGAGAAGCGCCGGAAAGCATGCGGGCATTTCTGCCATGGTCAAAACTCCTCACTGATGTGTAGTGGTCATGGTTCCGTGAATGATCTAAGACTCTTAAGAGGTTGATGGCTATCCCCACCAACGCCCAAAGGGGTCTTTTGATCAGGACACATTTGGAATCACACGGTATGACTCATACTCTCTCAGCCCGCGGTTCAATTGCAACTTGACAAATTCCTGCACTCGCGGTCAAGCCCTGCACAAGCATAAGCCACGCACGCACACACCCGCGCTCATGTGAGGTTATGTCTTCCGTTCGAGAACGTCTCGCTTGACCAAATTTGGGATGATAAAACTCTATGAATGCCGACCCGTGACTGCCAACATCCTGGACTCCAGAAAGCCCCCCTCTTTAAAGAGTGTGCTGCTTTTGAGCTGGCTGTTTCAATTGGACCTTCCAAAACGACTATCCTTCAGGGAAACGGCTCCAACATGGATGCTATTGGATGGTGCTCGTCAGGAAACCTCCAAAATGGTTGATGTCTGTTGGTGTCCCTTTCGAACCAACCTGGAAGGAACTGACAATACCTCCAACTCGCCAAAAAGAGGCGAGTACAACACGCAAAAACTTGGCCGAGGCGCGAATCCTGGAAGATGTCCTTCACCTCATGGCTTTGTCAAGTGTGCCTCACTGGAAAGACCTCAACTCACTCCGTGTGCTTACAACTAACAGGGCCCTCCCAAGAGTTTCAAGTCCAACTCAAAGGTGAGAAAAGGCCTCCCCACTCCCAGGAAAGGTTGTTGGAACCCTCTTAGAAGAGATCCGTAGAGGGGCGCTGCAAACCTTTCCGGGGGGTGTTCTTGCCTGGGCAAAAATCATGTGTTTGGGGGGGGGGGGGGGGGAGTTCAACAAAATACAAGGTCGCCTTTTGGCTTCCCTTCAAGCAACAACCGAAAGAGCGACCCCCCCCCCCAATTTTTTGGGCACTCAAGTGGTGAAAGGGACTTGCCCCTTTGGCAGATGTAGGAAACCCCAACCCAAAAGCGAGGTGCAGTGCCGGCCTCAACGCTTGATTCCTTTGCAACCTTGCGTGGCGGATTTGCGGATACCAGTCCTTCTGTAGCCCGCCCAATTGCACCAACGCAGGTGAGAAAAGCTGTTAACTGACGTGCCAAATCTACACCAATAGAGGTTGTATGACTGGGAGCCCCTAGCACATTGACATGGTCAGGCGTACGGGCCTTGAAAGAATAGATGGCGTCCTCCGATCGAGTTCCCGGTCAGAAGTAGATGTGTTCACATCCCGCAAACAAATCCAATCTCTCTTCCCCAGCTTCACTTGAACGTAGAAGCATTGTATTGACGTTATGTCGGACCGCGGATCAATTGATTGATCAACCTGCCACATGCATCAGTTGATTCTCGGTTGAAAACCACCTACCCTCAAAATGCCGGGTTTCCTTTTGGTTTCTCTTGAGTTCGACCCCCCAATCCTCCCCCCCCCGACCCCCAAACCCCACCCCCAAAAAAAAAGGACTCTCAAAAAAAGAAGAGCCACACCAAATTCGACGAGACCGAGTCGCATGCGCTGTGCGGGAGTGGGGGTTGTACTCCTTGCCCACGCGCCCCCCCGTCTTGTCAAACATCTGGTCCTGCACCTTCTCGAGCCGGGTCTCCTCGGACCAGACATCGCTCCATGTTCGGACCGATGGTCGAACTCTCTTTCTCGGCTCGCCGGGGCCGAGCAAAATCAAAGGGAAGCCACAGAGAACAGCAAAGAAGCGAAGGTTCAGGATTAGCCCCACCAACGTGGTTTCTCTAGTGCTACCTTCCATTTCCATTCTTTCCAGGGATCCAAATCTTTCTAGACAACCTCCGGAAACCCAGGGAAACGGCCGGTGATCGAAAAGAACGATGGTCGGAAAGAATGGGGAACAACCCTCGGATCAAATCTTGTCAGACCTCCGTTTTGACCATTGGACCATTGGTCAAGATAGATCTGACTGTCACGCGAAAGGGCTTCCCTTCACACGTGAGGGCGCCCAACGCCCCATGTCCCACAACGATGCCCTTCTTGGCTGAACCAAAACCCAACGTACCAGGCCCTTCTCCCTTTGGTTGAACATGAAGGCACCTCTATCAATGGTGCCCATGGCACCTCTGCGACCTCCATGCCCCGAGCCTCTGCTTCGGCAACATTTGACGCATGAGACGTGATGGTCAAAGGGTCAAGGGAATCAATCAACTTCCAGAGTTACCATTCTCTTCTTCAAGGCTTGGCATGTCCGCACACAAACTTTCGAGGAGCTACCCCAGCGTTGTGGTGGGAGGTCATCCTTTTTCTGTGCTACCAAAGTGGGTCAGTCCCACCATGGTCTACCGCGGCTGAAATCAAATCCGCCGCTCAAACACCCACGCCACCCACAAACCCCACTTGTCCCACAAATACCACCAAACACACGCACACAGTGTTGTTCTCTTATGATCATGACGCAGCATGTTTCTGGTACCTCGCAAACCCATTCAAATTAGCATAGCCCAAAAAAACGCGGAACAATGACCCACAAACATCTATTTATTCTTTTTCACCCCACAACCCTCCCCCCCCCCTACCCACCCCCCCACCCCACCTCCCCCACACACACACACACGCACACCCCCCAGCCCAGGCCCCCCAAAACCCCCCCCAGCCCCCCGTCGCCTGCACCAGGCGCTGCTCATCGCTCCACTGGCCGCTGAACTCCGAGTGCACGTCTCGGAAGGTTTGGGCCATCTGCTGGAGGCAGATGTTCCAATTGTTCTCGCCTCGACTTCCGAGTGACCGAGGTGGTTGGAAGCAACTTTGGTTTGGCTTGGAGCCGTACGAAGTCACCGGAAGGTTTCACCGGAAGCGCTTGGCTTGGTGGTTGGAGGCATCTTGTGTGGCCAAACCTCCTGTGGGGTGCGGCCACTCGGAAGTCACCGAAGTCCCCTGTAAAGGCGCCGGTCGGAAGGCCCTGGTTTGGTTAACGGATTGGAGTGGTGGGATTTGAACGCCTTGGCCGTACAGGGAACCGTCCCCGCAAGCGTTTGGCTTGGTGGTTTGGTTTGGCGTCTGATCGGAGGTCACCTTACCCCGGTAGCTGGGAAGGCCGTACGAAGTCACCGAGGTCCAGTCGGAAGCACCGGTCGGAAGCATCGGCTATTTGGTTTGGATTGGAGTGCTGGGATTTGAAGGCCCTGGTCACCGGAAGCGTTCGGTTTGGTGGTTTGGCTTGGTGGTTTGCCTGATCGGAGGTCGTCACCTTGCCCAGGTAAGTGGGAACTGCGGTCAAACCTCCTGTGGGGTGAGCTGGAACGTTGGTCTTATGTGAGGACCTACCACCCAAAAGTTGTGGTGTCCCTTTGATTTTCCCTCCAAGCAACGCAACAAATGACACCCTTGAAAAAACAACTTCCAGCTGTCATGTGTAGTGCAAAACTCCTGAGCCATATCTTCCAGTGCAATGGTAGACACAAAATTGGACCCCGAGCACCCCGGCCCTTGTGATACGTGTCATATCATACGTCACTTTGAAGAGCATACCTGTAGGGTATCACACAAAGTGGCAACCCCAATGCAACATCTTTCCACCATTTGGAACTTCTGGCAAAGCAACGGGCATTCGACCACCGAAAGGGAGGGACAAGCTCCGCAATGAATCATAGAGAAAGCTGGATCACCACGTAGTCCTGAATAGGTCATATTGTTCGTTGCACATCAGATGTCTGCATTAGAAAAGGCCTCAATAGCAGTGGCCAAAATGTGGCTACCTGAGCAAAGCGAAGGCAGGTGGCTGCCGGCATCTGCGGATTCGCTATGAACACAGCAGTTTCCTGTAGAGGACATGGGAGACTTGGGCCCAGTGCCTGTTGTTTTTGTGTCATCCAAGTCGCACCCAAAGCAGAGCAACCAAAAATAGCGGCAACAGTGACGATCCACATACCCTCTACTCCAAATATAGCAGCGAGTTAGTGGAAGTGAAAACTGCTGGCGTTCAGGTGAGCCCCTGTCTATCTACTTGGAAGGACATGGGCAGTCACTAGAATCAGACTGATCAAATGCCGGACATGTCAGAACTACAAGTGTAGTATAGATCTCATTGCCCCTTACCAATGACTTCGTCCCCCTGTCAAATATCACGAATTGCGTATCCTGTTTTTCCTCAATGAATTTGAGGGGCTCGGGTGCAAGTGGATCCAACGGCAGGTCTCATCTGAAAAGTTCTGTCTGACACATGATGACAATATCCAACCCGTTCCCTCAGGCATATGCTTTGCCTTCTTTCTTTGTTTTTGGGGGGGGGGGGGGGTTTGGGGGGGGGGGCAACCTGGCGTTTGTTGGGAATCTGGCTGGCTTCCCACATCCTCCCCACACATCCTCCCCAGACGAAAGGGGGGGCAAGTTGTCATTTCATGCCTGTCCGCCTCGGATGCTTGCGAAAGCAACCCAACCATGGCCGAAAAAGGTCGCAAGCGCGAGCATCGGCCCAAAGATGGCCAAAGTCACAGCGTCTCAGATGCGAATCGTGCGTGCCTCATTCTAAACCCACG